GATCACCCAAAATAGTACCCTGTTGCCATTTTCTCCCCAGATCCTTTAGCCCCAAAGACTATACCTATCTCCTTCTTTATGAGAGAATTTCACAGGGTCACCATTCTCTGGGTGAAAGAATTCTTCATCTCAGTTGATTGGGATGGGAAAAGAAACTTTCTTCAACTTGTACTCCCAATTGTGTGAATCCTACTGAAAGGGATGTTATGGCTATTGGAGAGTAGGTTCAAGCTCAATTGTGATGCACTGGACAATTATCAAAAACGAGGACATGTGGAATTGGAGGTAATCTTATCACATGGGTTGGAAGTGAAAGGAGAGAGATGAGGACTAAAAAAGGTTTCATTCCCTGACAGAGGAGATGCAACAGGAATTTGGACAGGAGTTTCAGCTTTAAATTATGCAGAGTAATAATGCAAAAAAAGCATCAGAATTTCAGTACATAAGCAGTACGCAAGTTCAGAATCAACACACAAATTTTCAGAAATACCAAATGTGGATAGGTTTGTAAGTTTTAAAGAAGCATTCAGACCAATTAATTGGGACAAAACTATAGCAGATGGAATTCAAAGCAGGAAATGTCAGAAATTTGTCAAGAACTACAGAATATTTTCTCCATGGCAAGAGATGGAATTGAAATTCAAATTCAAAAGATTTTTAACTTCTTCCTCAGTTCTGGAGTATTGGTGGGATGCTCATTTGTAGTACCACAGTTCGGGGTTAGCATAGCACAGATGCAGCAGAATAACACCATAAAACTGCAAAGACCTATGTTATGGACCAGAACAAACCTCTTACAAGTATATGAAGGATATAGCCTAGATGGAAGTGTAAGGTGGTGGGTTCCAGATTTAATTTGTCACCCTACTCAGCTTTAAGCAAAACACACATTATTCTTATCTCCAATTAAAATACAAACAAAAGAAAGAATCGGAATAACAAACCTATTGGCAACTTAACTGATTATTTAACTACTAGATTATTTAACTACTAAACAGCAACTGTTTCGATATAGTGACATCCCAAAATCACACCTTTGACAAAAGCAAATTCAGTAAAATAGATTGTCTCGCATGCAATGTTTCTCCAATTCAGAAGGAAAGAACGTTGAGAAAATTCTGGCAGAGAGAACTCAAACATTTAGCTGTAGCAATGGTGATGTAAAAGCTTCAACAGCCAACTTCTAAACCCTAACAAGTACTGAAATCTAAACTAAAATCCTGGTTCTGTGGGACCCCGACTCTACTCGTTCCTGCTGTTTCTATTGTTCTAAATTTTTAAAAAACCCAAGGCCTTTTTTTAAGGTGTTAACTTGATAGGCAATGAGTGCTCTGTTCCAAGCCAATTTCTCAAACCTCTCTATTTTAAAAAAACCCAGGACAAAACATAACTCTTAAAGCCATAGTATCGTCATGCTAAAGACCATAAGAAACAGGAGTAGGCCATTTGATCCGTTGAGCCTGCTCTGCCATTCAATAAGATCATAACTGATTTTTTCATGGACTTGGCTTCACTTACCTACCTACCCACCCACCATAACCTTTAATTCCTTTACTGTTCAAAAATCTATCTTTGCCTTAAAAACATTCAACAAAATAGCCTCAACTGCTTCACTGGGCAGGGAATTCCTCAGATTCACAATGCTTTGAGAGAACTTCCTCAACTCAGTCCTAAATCTGCTACACCCTATTTTGAGGCTATGCCCCCTAGTTCTAGTTTCACCTGCCAGTGTAAACAACTTCTCTGCTTCTAACTTACCTATTCCCTTCAGAATTCTATGTTTCTATAAGACTTCCCTCCCATTCTACTCAATATCTTCTCATAAGCCAAACTTCTCAACTCCAGAATCCATTCAGGGAGCCTTTTCTGCACCCCCTCCAGTGCCAGTACATCCTTTTCTTAACTTATGTAGGCAGGTTACATTTTTAAAATTCCAAATTGTTGTCAATATTCAGGTCAGGCCAGGCAACATCTATGGAGAAAACAGTTGATATTTCTAACCTTACAATGGATGCAAGCTTCATAGGCAAGGCTGGCCTCTGTTGCCTTTCTCATTTGTCCTTGAAAAGGTGTTGATAAATTGCTGCAGGTCATTTCACATTTTGTGTATCAATATTACATGCCACTTACGTTCAAATTTGAATGAGAGAATCTTGCTACATTCCTTAGTTGAGAATACAACTGAAGACTGTTCAATCATGAGCAAATATTCCTACTTCACACATATTATTCTGGGTTGGGGTGGGGATGGGGGGTTGCAGCTGTTGGAGGCAGAGAAGATCATTGCCAAACCAGCTGAAAATGGTAAGCCTATGACACTACGCTGAGGAAATAAGGGGCTTTTCTGGTACAGTGGTAGTCCCCTACTACTGGGCCAAGGTTGAAACCCCACCTATTTGAGATTTGTGTAATAATCTCTCTGAACAGCTTTATTTTTAAAATATCTATGGAGAAACTGCTACAGCGACATCTAGGTGATTGACACCCAACCACAACCATTTCCCTTTATGTCAGCTCCACTTCTCCGATCAGCGGATAAGTTTTTCCGATTTCCATTGGCTTCAATGTTGGCCTGTTGTCAAGGCATGTAACTTACTGTTAGGATTAAATTTTTTTGTCCAGGTTTGGACCAATGATATAAAGTCTGGGGTAGAGCAACCTAGAGGCACCCAAAATGAGAAGCAATAGGTAGATTACTGCTGATTAAGTACAATTTTGACACTTTACTAACAATTGAGAGCAGATTGATAGGGCTGTAACTGGCCAAATATGATCTGTCCTGAATTCTGCAAACAGGACATTATGTGAAAAGTAGATGAGCAGTCAGATAAATACTTCAGGAGCATCAATCTTCATTATTAGAATCAGGAATTTTTCAGGATCATGCTTTTTCGTATTTAGTGCCTTCAAACATTCCTTGATTTCAGTGATGTATTTAAGTATATATGGTATGCATAAATTTTTATTCTAGTGTGACATTAACAGTTTTCCTATTCTCTGGAACCTTTTCCGAATCTAGGGAATTTCTGAAGATTACAAGCAACACTACCTCTACAGTTCCTCGTTTTAAGGCTGCAGAATACAAAGAATCAGGTCCAGGGCCTAGTCAGCCTTTAAGTACATTAGGTTTTGCCCAGTTAATTCAGCAGTAAGGGTAGCTAGATATTTTCATAAACCTATTCAGGAGTATTACGCACCTCTGGAGGAGATAAATTTGCATCTAGGCCTCCTGGCTCAGAGGTAGGAACACTACCACAGCATCACAAGAGGCCTAGGAGGGAATAACTAAAGAAAAAAAGGCAGTAATATTTTCATTGGCCACTCAATTGGCAGAGAACAATTGGCGTAAAGATGCATTAGTCACTAACTTGTGAGCCATTGAAAGCTTTTATTTGTCCAAAGGTCTGATTGGTCAGTCATTAGCAGGAGTTATTTACACAGATGCATTCTTTGAAGCTAAGTTTTCATTTAGCGAGAAAAAATTACCTAATTGAACGAAATTGCATGCATTTTATAAATAGGTGTTATGTATATTGAATTAGGTAATAATTGAATATTTACTTCTGCAAATAGTTTACAATCCTAGGTGCTTAAATATTGGCGGGGGCGGGGGGGAAGAGAAGCGGAGAGAGGAGAAGAGGGTTATAAGAAGCCTTTTTTTGGTCTTTTAAGCTGCTCTCATGCACACTACCAAGACTTCGGATACTGTAAAATTATGCTGGATGTGCAGCTTATAGACAAACAAGATGCATTTATGAATATCAGACAAAAAAAGATTTGTCTATTTGCTTAAAATGTTTGAATTTCATATCCAATGACAGCACCTTTGAAATTATAGCATTACATAATTTGTCAGGAAATATTTTATGCACACATATTCATGTTAAATATTTTCCAAATGACATTTTCTTAAACCAGTGAACATCATTGCCACTAATGAAATAAGAACATGGAAAACAACATAATCTAATAAACAGACTTACAATACCAACGAAGGGCAATAAATCCTCAGCCAGCAGAACCCACCTCCCACAAAAAATAAAAAACCAAGAAGCATATGACCATTTTTGAAAAGAAATCTATATTATACGAACACTGAAATTCTGGTTTCTGAAAATAAGGTTCCAAAGATAAAAAGTTGCTCAGAATATAGGGGACCCAAAATTAAAGTTAAGGTGTCTTCCATTGGTGGATTCAATTAATATGTTTGCTCTGAACTATGACTTGTGCACTGAAGGCAAATCTCAAAGTGAGAATGTGTAAATAGCAGTAAGTGAACCAAACAATAAGTATTAACAACTTGAATGTTTTAGTCTTTAAAACAAAAATTGTACTGTTTGCATACCTACTGGTTTATGTTGGCATTTAACTTATACTCAACTTTGAAATATGAGCTGAGACAGGTCTTTCTGCAGCCGAGTAAGTTTGCTTCGCAAAAATAAAATGTTGATTGTAGAAAAAAGTCTTTCAATAGTAGAAAATGCAAACACTAATTTCTGAAATGATTAAAATATAGACAAATTTAATTTCTGCACAGGAAACAAGCCAACATGCCAAAGCAATGATGGCTCCTTTGCTCAGTCCAGTCAGCTCTATGTACTCTCTTCCGCCTCTACTGACAAACATAAGCAATGTACCAATAACCCCAGCCCCAATTTTGGCATTTAGAAACATCCAAAAATGCTCTGCAGGAGTATAACACAACAGATTGTTTGACCAATGAGCTAGACACTAATGGACATCTGAAAAGAATTGAAGATGCTATGCAGAGAAACACCAAAGCTTTGAATCTAGAAGAATGGCAGCCAATGGTGGTGCAAAAGAAAAGTGTACAGGGGAATGTATAGGCAATTAGAGAAACCCGGAAATGTATATTTTTACCTCATTTAAGACATGGCATAATTAGCCATGATTTTATTTTACATTAAGTACACACTTAAGTATAACAGTTAGGACAAGCAAGATGTTAAGCTTAATCAGTGCTACTGAATACATGTTTCCTGAGTATATATAGACAGTTTAAATCTTTTACTGAGATCCCTAAAACTGCTTTTCATGCATAGTGGTTGAAAGATTAAAAGGTAAGAAAGATGTAAATATGTACAGTCAGCTATTGATTGGATTATCTTTCTACACAAATATTTAAAGACACTAGTTGCTAGCTTTAGACACTATACACCTCTGCAGTAACTGTAAATATCCACACCATAATATTTGCTTTCAGGTGCTGTGTTTTACAGAAATACAATTTCTATTGAAACAGATTCTAGTTTCTAAAGCGGGGAGGGATAGAGAAGAGATGTACAGATGCTGAGCAGCTGAAAGCCTCACTAAGGATGCAAAATGATTAAGAAATAATACTGACTGATATTTACAGTAACAGACAAATCAAATAGTATTTACTGTAATTGGTACTCAAGTTACTACTTTGAAGAACGTTGCACTTCCCATAATACAACTGCAAACATACCTCCCAGTTCCATTAACATTATTGAGTTAAAAGTGTTTAAATTCCAAACTTGATAGAATTGTGCACATAGAACCCGGTTTCCAGTGAAGGCACACTAAGAGATACAATGATACCTCAAACATCAAAACATAAGTAAGATATTGTCATGGAAATCTAGACTTAATACTAGGTATTAGTTAAAAATGGGATAATTTGGCAGGTGTGTGTAGTGGTAAAGTCTAATCCACCCTGAGAATGAACAATGTTTTCAAATTATTCAAGTTTTGTTCACTGCTCATTTTATTAGAATCTACGCCCAATTTGTCGCATCAACCACTAATCATAAATTATTAACACGTTCTGCAACTTGTGGATCATCTTTTATGTTAATTTATAGAAATCAAAATTGTATGCAACGTTTCTTTTAAGACACAGCTGAAGTATTCAGCATCATAAACAAGCTGAGGAGCTGCATGCACTGGCCCACAAAACAGTATGTTGCAGCATTTCACTTATTTAAGAGAAATAAGTGTGCTAAAATGGAACTTAACATTTCAAAGCTGAATTATTCTTTCAATTCCATGCTAACATGCACATCGCTTTTCAATTTTACATTATAAATTATGATAGACGTGACTTTCAACATTCTTAAAACAGAATATTTTAATAGCAATCAATGTTATGAAAAAATTGGTGACTGCAGCTGCATCTATTTGTGTGGTTGCCAAAACAAGCAAGTATTGTCTTATGGATTTCACAGAAAATGAAAACCGCAGAATTTTCTTTACACACTAATATTTGAACTACAAGATTATTTTTATAATACTTTAATAATGCAGTTACTACTTCATTACATAATTTTGTTCCTTGTAACATTAATTAGCTCATTTATACAACAGGCATCCCAGGAGATACATTATCAAAGCCAATACTTGATTAATACAATGAGAACCATAGTTGGCACTTGTCATCCAAATGAGAAATATAGATATATTAACAGCTTTGTTGCGTGGCCAACAGAGACTTGTAACAACCAGGCATAAGCTTTTTACACTATCTAAAATAAAAAAATAATTCAGCCAATGCAAATAAACACTTGGCCTCTATCTCGAAATACCTTACATATTTCTGATCATCTAAATATGTCAGAAAAATCTAAAGTAATCATGATGTTTCATAAGAAGCACATTTAATGGCAAAGGAAGTAATGGGTTCATTTTGTGCTTTGATTATAGCAAAGATATTACTTTCTTTTCCATTTGTTAGCTTCTAGTAAAAGTAATTTTGAGCTTTCCTCACCCAAAATAGAAACAAAAAATCAAAATTGCATTGTATATACTCAAATCTGAAATCACTGCACAAACGATGGAAGGTAACAGAATAAATGTATAATGTAAACATTGATGTGAATGCGTCATGCAAATGCCCCCAACCATAATAGAATTTAAATGGCACATTAATGTATTACAAAATAAAAAGCTATTTTTCCCAAAGAACTGTATATCAATACATCTTTTTAAAAAAGAGACAAAGAGACTTAAATTATTGTTCATGCCACCATGGACTGAGAAAAAAGGAAATCTAGTATTAAAATATGGAAGAATCAAAGAATGGTGGACAGATCAAAATGAACTACAACTTTGCCCTGAGTCAGATTCTGCACTGAATGCTTCCTGCTCACAGCTTTTTATTTCACTTGGATAACTGTTCCCATTGAAATTGTTCACCGGAGTTGACTGACAATCAAAATGGCTGTCATCAGGACATGAGCAATTGACAAATACTTCCTCTGTTAATTGTTGTTTCAGTTCCTCAAATTCCTCTACTTGGAAGATATTTGTCTGTCCCAGTACAAAGTCACAGATCCTATTTAAAACAAAAAAAAAATTGCAACAAATTTAGAGCACGTTTAAAATGTTCCCAGTTACCTTGTTTGCAAGAAACATGCGTTAAATTCAGAAGCCAATAGTTTAATTGGTAAGGTTTTGGAGTAGATTTGTAGCTCGGGTTGTGGAATGTTGAGGTTGATTGGCTCGCCGAGCTGGTTTGTTGTTCCGCAGACGTTTCATTACCCTGCTGGGTAACATCAGCAAAATTGGTAACAAGAGCAAATAGCTGAATAAGACGACCAGAATCTCTGAATCCCCAGCATATATGCTGTGTTATGGATTTTCAGAACACTACATTTGAGCTTAACAACCCACTAATGAAAGGGAGGAGGAAGGGAAAAAAGGAACAAAAAACAGTACCAAGCCTATTTTACTATTCAATATTGACCACAACTTGCTCTGTTCTGAGGAAGCATCACCGGACCCGAAAAGTTAACTATGTTTTTTCCTTCACAGTTGCTGCCAGACCTGCTGGGCTTTTCCAGCAACTTTCTTTTTGTTCCTGATTTACAGCATCGGCAGTTCTTTCAGTTTTTATTAACCAACCATCCCTGGGAAGGAGTCAAACCGACATAAACAAGCTGTTTCATGGGAGACAGGAAGCAACACTCCTTGATAACCTGCTGCCTCATGATAAATGAGCAATGAAGACTGCCTGCAGAAGCATATTCCTGAAGTAAAGGGATTAAATGAAGCACAGGCTGTTTTAAACAGACAGCTAACACCAAATGTAACAAGGAGCAGGGGAGCTACTTCCGATAAGGTGGCAAGCTACAGACTTGAGGTCTCCACAGTGTAATTAATGTTGGGGGAACGAAAAAAAAATCAAAAGGATCAATGTCACACCACAAACTTGAAAGAGAAAATTGTGTAAGAAAGCAACTTTAGAACTCTCAGTAGAACTTTGAAGGCAACCCTGCACAAGGATCAAACCCTGGGTACTTCCTCAGACATGTTTTTTGATTGGAATCATAGCTAAATTCCACCAATAGTTGGGTGTTAGCCAAGTTGAGTTGAGAGGCTTAACTTGCTTACTCAATGGGTCTTATTTTGGTTGCCACATGCAATAAAATTTAAATCCATCATTGTTTCAGGGCTTGATTGAGAGATTTGAAGGTAGTTTGCAGTGATTTACCCACAACACACCATATTCTGAACATGTCAAAACAATAAAGATCTTTTCTTTCCACTGACATGTATTTACAGATTTTCTCATTTGGTAACATACAGTTTAGCACAATTCAAATGGGTATGCTTTGATCTTACTTATCATAGATGAGCCCATCAATTCCACTCTTCTTCAGTATGCTCCTGTTTTCAGACTCATTAGTATCATCACCCCAACAAAAAATGACCAAATCTCTTGACTTGGCTTGCTGGATATAATCCAGGTTTCGTAGCAAGTCCTCTGTGTGAACATTGATTCCCTTTTAACCAAAAACAAAAAAGCTTTAAGCAGCAGAAAAAGGTCATGTTATTTGAAAGCATAATACCAAGACAGTAATTCTTCTGCTTAGGTACAGGACCACTGCCTACCAGAATGTTTTCTGACTGTGCAAAACTCATTGCAATTGGTGTGCTTCGGCAGCGGAGATCCATAAGCTCAGGATAGATGTTAGAATAACCTTGAGTCAAGAAAAGAACTGGATACTTGTTTTGCTTCTGCCTGATCCTAGAAGGATAAAATTGATCAGTATTTAACTTTAGGAGAACCAAAATATTTGCACTTCCCTTTTTGCTGTTTTAGTTAAGAGGACTAATGGGAAAAAGATAGTAATATCCGGCGCCTTGAACTTAATTTACTGAGACTTTTGAGTATTCAAGTCATAGGCACAGATCATGTTGCTATTATATCATATTGTACTACTGGTAGCAGGAATAGTTGGCAGTGAGACTATGATGTTATTGCAAAAGCTTTCAAACTTATTAAACTCTCAGAACTGGTTAACGAGTTTTAAACAAGATCAATTTAGTCTATGAAATTGAGAGCCACCTTGTCTGTTTAAATGCATTGCTTCTCTAATTGTTGATGCTGTGATTCATCAGATACAGCTGGAAATATAGCATCTTAGCTTTTATCTTTTCACTACACTCTTTGATCAAAATCTCAGGCACTATCTCATTACACCCAAGCAATTTTTCATTTCAGTCACCAAATCTTATCACTTTTATTAACTCAAGTCAATGGATGTTGCCTACATTTTGCATGAAACAGTTGAGCAACAGGGTAGGTGGACTGTGGCATCACAAGGCCACTTTCAAACCCAAATCTAATGTCACACAGCGAATTGCATTGGGCAGTTATGAATTCCTCTCCCTCCCTCACCCCAGTATTCCTGTTTTCTATCTGCTCCAAGTGTACAGGATGTGGGTCTTGATATATTGGACAAAGTCAGGAATCAGACTGCAGTCCACTGGGAGAGAAACTTAAATGCTTAAGCAGGGCAGATGGCTGGTGATTTTATAGAACAACGAGGAAGGAATGTAGACATTATCGAAAAAGGTAACGGGAGGGAAAAATTGTTTTTCTTAAATATTTGCAGATATCATAACAATCAGAATATTGCAATGTAAAGGTAAAAATACTAATCCCAAAAATAAAAAAATAGACTTACAGTGAACAGACATCTGCAACAAATGAGGAGAACACTATTCTTCGCTTAGATGCATTTTCCAAAGTGCATTTTAGGATTACATCAATAGCTTCATTCATGTCCAAATAAGTTGGCAAATTGCCCTCCCAGGTACCATCCTATTAACAGGTGAAAGCATAAATAATTTTTGTCTTGTTTCGATTGACAGATAATGCAGTTAAAAACAAAGTTTGACAAACAAACGTGACAGAAAGTGAAACTTCCAATACAATGGTCTACCATATATGGCGCAGTAACCTTTATCCAAAACTGCAATAACTTGCAAGCCACGCCAATAATTTATTGTAAACTAAACAAAGCTGTACATATATCTGACAATTTCTTCATCCCATGATAGAAGAATGCCATACCAGCAATTCAAAAGGTCCTGCAACAAAATTGCTTATTTCAAGCAAACTGTGCAGAACTGTGATAAATTTCATGCTACAGCCCTGTGCCTATTGGGTTAATATTTTAAATTAACATCCCTATAGGGTAAATAATTTTGAAGATATAATCTCAAGTCTAGATATAGAAGTGGTTAGTAAATGATGCAAGAATGAATGGTCAGTATAGTCACTCTGCAAATAATGGCCTAGTGGTATTAGGATGGTGGAACTTGATATCAACAAAAAAAAAAAGAAAAAAATCTGGAATTAACAGTCTAATGATCATGAAACCGTTGTCAATTGGAAAAACCCATGTGGTTCACTAATGTCCGTTAGGGAAGGAAATCTGTCGTCCTCACCTAGTCTGGCCTACATGTGATTAATGTGGTTGACTCTTAACTGCCACTTGGGCAATGAGAGATCGGCCATAAATGCTAGTCCCACCAGCAAAGCCCACATCCCGTGAATAAGTTTTTAAAAAAGCCATAAAAATACCACCTCTAACATGCACCAGAATGGATAAGTATCCTAAATTATCTATTTATGATTTGAGCTCACAATTGCCTAAGTCAGAGGCAACAGTGGTACTGACGGAGCTAAACTATACCAATACTTGTTAATTCACTGTACCTAGTGACAGATTGAGGCCTTCTCCTTTCCAGTCTGATGAAATTCAACAATGCCAATTACTCAAAAAATAAATGACAAGCAAGAATGAGCAAATGTGTCAATCTTTGAAAGTGAAAGGCTGTCTTAGAACCCATCATCAGCAAATTATGTTAATACTCCAAATATGCCAACTAGACTGCTGCACCTACCACATCACAAAGATTATTCTTAATGCTACAACTCTGAGGCTATGCGACTTACCTTTTGTTGATAAGGCCATTTAATTTCAATGTTAAATCCAATATGTTCAGGCACACATTCTAAAACCTTAAAAACAAAACAATATTTGCTTCAAGCTAAAATGCATCAATATTATCTGACCCACAAAAAAAATGGAAATTTCACAAATACTTCATAGCAATAACCAATTAAAATAGGCCATTAATTGCATAAGTGGATAGAACTTGAAAATGCAAAAACATTACTGCCCCAAAAGAAAGGGTTTGAACAACACCATAATTCTTAATGAATTAAAAAAAAAGACCCTAACCATGAAATATCGATGGCTAAATTAAGATACTGCCAATAAGTAGCGTATCATTTTTATTCCACTCACTTATAACGTCCCAACTCTTATGTAAACCTCTGCAATAGGGTTAGAGAGGGGTTAGCGTTAACACAGGATCAAAATATGAAAATGGTGCTTCAAAGTCACCTACTGGATATTCTACATAATCAACATCTTGTTTGATAAATTGCATACCTGCTGCAAGGAAGGAAATGGTTGATTTTCTGAAGCGTCATTTTCATCATCCATTGAATTTTCTGAGGAATTAAAAATTTGAAGAACTTAAGCAAGTTTAAAAACAAACAAATGAGATTGAATGAGAGACAACAAGGTGTAGAGCTGGGTGAACACAGCACAAGCAGCATCAGAGGAGCAGGAAAGCTGACGTCACCTTTCCTGCTGCTCTGATGCTGCTTGGCCTGCTGTGTTCACCCAGTTCTACACCTTGTTGTCTCAGATTCTCCAGTATCTGCAGTTCCTACTATCTCTGAAATGAAATTGAATACCTTCTTACTGACTAATGGATAAGCACAATGGTTAAATAAAGCTAAACATACCATACTTAAACTAATGAATTTTACAAGGCTTTATTTTCCCAGTTTAAGATCTGCTGACCTTCAATACTTCTCGGCATTAAAGAAACCAGCAACAGCCGTGGTAATATGACTACTAACATTTGGTCAAATACACATTTATTTGAGTGTAATATTTTCAAAAAATTTCACAGAACAAGGTTTGCATTCCTCATCCCTAATTTATATACAAAAATAGACTAAGATAGAAAAATCAAAAGAATACTTCTAAATTCAAGGCAAAGTCAGTCTTGTCATTCACATTAAAAGAACTGCAAGTTACTCACGAAAGAATTAAGCAAACTTTTAAAAACTGCTTTAAAAAGAACACTTCTAAATTGTCATTTTGAAGATTATCCCAAAATAGCTCTTAAAAGATATCAAAATACAATACTGTAATTATTATTACATCACAATGACATGTGGAAGCTTGGAAATTTTTCAAGTCTATATGTACCTTTATCGCCATTCACCTTCAAAGCAGCCACATGTGCCAACTGAAACGATAAAAGTGGTAAGTGATTGTGTCACTTATTTGTTATGTATGACAGTACGACTGCAGCAGTTCACTGTTGTGCCCATACTTCTAAACATTGTCACAACATATAACTTTGTCTGTACAAGTATAAACATGCAGGCTTGTTTACACGCGCATAATGTTTGCATATTATGTAAAATGAAGACTTCAAAATCTTTTTAGGCTGTAACAAGTTATAAGGCACTGCTGAATGATTAGAAGTTTTCACTTCACAGCCTTCTGGTCTTGCTTATAAGTGGCTTCACATAAAATAACTGCGTGCAATATTTTAAAGAAAAGCAAGTACCATAAATCACCCTGAAAAATAATTTTATTTAAATTATTAAGTCATATGAAAATTCCTCTCAGCTTCTGGGTTTTGCACGCCACATATTACTGCACAGCTACCAAATGGTAGAAAGGAGATAGCTGAAGAGATAGTGGAAGCGTTAGTGGTGACCTTTCAGGAATCGCTAGAGTCAGGGAGGGTCCCAGAGGACTGGAAAATCGCTAATGTGACACCTCGTTTAAAAAGGGAGTAAGGCAAAAGACGGAAAATTACAAGCCGATTAGCCCAACCTCGGTCGTGGGTAACATTTTGGGAGTCTATTGTGAAGGATGAGATTTCTGAATATTTGGAAGTGTATGGCAATATAGGGCAAAGTCAGCATGGTTTCATCAAGGGGAGGTCATGCCTGACAAATCTGCTAGAATTCTCTGAGGAAGTAATCAGCAGGATAGACCAAGGAGAGCCAAGACTTTAAGAAGGCCTTTGACAAGTTGCCGCACAGGAGGTTGCTGAGTAAGATAAGGGCCCATGGTGTTAGAGGCAAGGTGCTAGCATGGATAGAAGATTGGCTGTCTGGCAGAAAGCAGAGAGTGGGGATAAATGGGTCTTTCTCAGGAAGGCAGCTGGTAACAAGCGATGTCCACAAGGGTCAATGTTGGGACCACAACTTTTCACTTTATACATTAATGATCTAGATGAAGGAACTGTGGGCATTCTGGCTAAGTTTGCAGACGATACAAAGATAGGTGGAGGGACAGGTAGTATTGAGGAGGTGGCGAGGCTGCAGAAGGATTTGGACAGGTTAGGAGAGTGGGCAAAGAAGTGGCAGATGGAGTACAATGTGAGAAACTGTGAGGTCATGTACTTTGGTAAGAAGAATAAAAGCATGGACTATTTTCTAAATGGGGAGAAAATTCAGAAGTCTGAAGTGCAAAGAGACTTGGGAGTTCTAGTCCAGGATTCTCTCAAGGTAAACTTGCAGGTTGAGTCAGTAGTCAGGAAGGCAAATGCAATGTTGGCATTTATTTTGAGAGGACTTGAATATAAAAACAGGGATGTACTCCTGAGGCTTTACAAGACCCTGGTCAGGCCGCATTTGGAGTACTGCGTCCAATTTTGAGCCCCATATCTCTGGAAGGATGTACTGGAACTGGAGTGGGTTCACAGGAGGTTCACGAGAATGGTCCCAGGAATGAGAAGCTTAACATAGGAGGAACGTTTGAGGACTCTGGGACTATACTCATTGGAGTTTAGAAGGATGAGGGGGAATCTAATTGAAACTTACAGAATACTGAATGGCCTGGACAGAGTGGATGTTGGGAAGATGCCTCCATTGGTAGGAGAGACTAGGACCCAGGGGCACAGCCTTAGGAGTAAAGGGAAGACTTTTTACAGCGGAGGTAAGGAGAAACTTCTTTAGCCAGAGAGTGGTGAATCTATGGAATTCAGTGCCACAGAAGGCTGTGGAGGCCAGGTCGTTGAGTACATTTAAGACTGAGATAGATAGGTTCTTGATTATCAAGGGGATCAAGGGTTACAGGGAGAAAGTGGGAGAATGGGAATGAGGAACTTATCAGCCATGATTGAATGGCTGAGCAGACTCGATGGGCCGAATGGCCTAATTTCTGCTCCTATGTCTTATGGTCTAGTGATTATCCGACTTGCTGCCAGGCCTACAGCACTGTATTTGGGGAAAAGTGATAACTGTTCACCAAGTGTACAAGTGAGAGAAACTCATCCTCTAATTTCCATTCTCTCACACGTTTTACACCTAAGTTCCACTGGATCAGACACTTGATAATATTCAGGATTACAGATGGGACATTGATGCTAACATCAAGCCAATGACATTCAGCTCAGAGATTTAACAACACTTGCTGAACAATTCCAAAAGTACCATAAGTTGTACTAATACAAGTTCACAATGAGTCACATTGCTCGCTGGAACCTACATATATTCATAAACAGGAAAAAGGATGTCCAGGCATTTCACCTTCTGAATTGAACTAAAGTCAATAACTGCCTATTACATTGAGCATAGCAACTGACCAATATCAATTTGCAAACCAACCCAAAACCTCTCTAATAGTATGAATTGCTCCCTTTGAAAATTAGTTTACTTGTGTCAGTCTGAAGCGTGCAAGAGGCAAAGCTTTAACACCATATCTCTTTTCTCAGCAATTTGGAACGTAAACATAAAACTCATTTAAGATGGCCAAGATTAGATTTAAGTTTCAAAAACAGAAATTGTTGGAAAAGCTCAGCAGGTCTGGCAGTATCTGTGCAGAAAAATCAGGGTTATCGTTTCGGGTGCAGTGACCCTTCCTCTGAACTGATGGCAACTAGGAAAAGTTGTTTTTTATGCAGAAGGTAGGGTAGGGGAGCGGATAAACAGTAAACAGTATGTAGAGATAGTGAATAAAACAGACAATAGAAATGACATTCTATCCTACTGTTCCTAACCAAGGTCACAGCATGTACCATTTCGCACAACAGTAAGCGCAACCAAACAATTATAAACTTAAATGGTTAAGTTTAGATTGAGTACACCCAACGGTAAATAAACTTGAATTTGTCTGTAGCTTTAGTTATCTAGTTGAAAGAAATAATAATTCCACCAATATTCATTAATATTGCATGTTATTATATTGCTGCTAAGACTCCTACAATTAACTGGCTCACTCAATGAGCAAATCAGGAGAAGAAAATAAAAACTGATTTTCAAACGCACTGCGATAAAACACTTATTCATATTTCAGCCTGTAACCTTGTAAGCCATAAAGTCACCTCGGAGAGTTTGATTTGCAATGCATAGCCAGAATGAAAGTTTTCAGGGTTGTTTTACAGCACTAAACAAAACGTGACTAGCATAGCATAATTGATGCTGAACAGCAAAAACCGGTAATCTGAAGTTCTACAAGCAGTACCTAGGTGCGTAAACAATTTGGAAGAGGCCATTTTCCAAATGCATGTATTTCAAGCTAAATAAAGTTTACAGACTGTTTACAGCACTACACTGCCCTTTCAAAACTTTTACCAGTTCCTGCAACATGGATTTATCCAATCTGTTGACCACGGTGAGAGATAGCGTTATGGTAATATTCATTTTCGTTGCTTCAGCCATATGCCAAAACCCAGAAAAAGTGCTATCTTGCTCATTAGTGAACTGATGGGAAGATTGGAATGGTTCAACAGTTTTGTTGTTCCTTTCGTATTCGAAAGGAATTTTCCCTTACTCCAACATCTCTACAGCAAATGTTTCTCTAAATAATTTAAGCTTCTAATCGCTGTTCCCTCTAACTTCTTTTTCTTGCTCACAGCCTCCAAGGTCTGAAGTGAAACCAACTTCTGAAACTGGAAGTCAATGCTGTATTCTAAACTGGCATGCCGATCACTGCACACATTATGTCAGAGGGGCTCAGTGAATGCAAAACTACCTTTTAATCCATACTTTTCTCCTAGTACTGTTATCTCCTGGCTAAGACTACTGCTTTGAAGTGAAACAGAAAACAAGTGTTGATGCCAGTAGTTCTGAAGAACAGTCACCGGATTCAAAAAACTTCAATTTTTTTTCTTTCCACAGATGTTGCCAGAACTGTGGAGTTTTCAGCACTTTCTGTCATAAGGCACCTGGCTCTGAATATTGCCCCTGAAGATGATCAGAGGATTAGATAGGGTGGACAGTGGGAGCCTTTTTCCTCGGATGGTGATGGCTAGCACGAGGGGACATAGCTTTAAATTGAGGGGTGATAGATATAGGACAGATGTCAGGAGGTAGGTTCTTTACTCAGAGAGTAGTAAGGGCGTGGAATGCCCTGCCTGCAAAAGTAGTAGACTCGCCAACTGTAAGGGCATTTAAGTGGTCATTGGATACACATATGGATGATAATGGAATAGTTTAGGTCAGATGGGCTTCAGATTGGTTTCACAGGTCGGCGCAACATCGAGGGCCGAAGGGCCTGTACTGCGCTGTAATGTTCTATGTTCTATGAATGAGCACGTTCACATTTCCAACATTAGAATGGCAATTATCCTACAAAAAAGTACTTAGTTGACTGAACTGTTTGGAACATTCCAGGATCATCAGAGTCGCTTTCCGATAGACGAATGATTTTTAACACCTGCAATAGTGTTTATTATTTGTGTTATACTGTTACATTATATTAATCCAGACCAATCTAGCATACCTTGCTTTCTGTTTGTCATTAAATATATAACTGGAATGCATGGTACTGTAGATATTCTTGACTATATTACATTATACCTTTAGTAGCTGCAACTGCTCAAACGTAAGTTCCTTTACTGGAATTTCAAATAGTTCTGAAGATTCTTTGTCCATTTTCTGAAAACAAACAGAAATGGAAACATGAGTAATACATCACAAAAAAGTCAGAACTATTGACACAGAAGATTGAAAAGTTTAAAAATAGTTGAATCATAACAATTAAAGACATGGAAATCACACTACCACTAAATGTAAAACAGAATCCACTTAAAGGAACACTTTTGTAGTGATATTGCGAGTGAATTAAAAAGTGTATAATGATTTTTCAATGGGGTATCAATGTTGCATAAATTTCCAAAACATCAAATGCAGTTGGAATACTTGCATCTACGTTTTCACCAGCACAGGCAAGAGGAAAGAATTCAAAGTCAAAATATTAACTTTTCAAAAAGAAAAGTGCCCTCCTTTACAGAATGTTTCAGGTTGAAGAAGCTTTTACTCATTAGTGCTCTGACATGAAACTGATTAGTAAATGATTTTAATCAACTGCTGTCATGTTTATTATTTGTGCTGCACTGTTTCATTATATTCATTCGGGTCAGTCTAGCATATCTTTCTTTCCATCGCTACACTCTCAAAATATTAAATACAAGTCGCTTCACAGTTCTTAATGATTGTCGTTTTGAAATCTAAGTAAAACATTCTATTTTTTCCACCCAGTGTCAACAGCAAATACACTGGAATTCAGGCCAAAGCTTCCTTCAAACCTCAGAGCATTACTGGCATTTAGTGACATTCCCATATTCATACCAGACTGAATTTCCAATGATGGTCAAGTTATAGGCAATTTTACTGTATAGGCTGTCACTGGGGAATACAGCAAAATTATTTTTAATTTCTTGCAAACTTCACAGTCATCACCAAGAATACTTTAGCTCTCATCTTTCTGGGTTACACTTAAACCTGTATTCTGCACAATAAATACACTTCAACACCATGAGTCAAGTTATTGCTAGATCCTGCATCATTTTCCTCATTTCTAAACTCAGCAGGTAAGGCAGCATCTGTACATATAAGATGATGGGGTTAACATTTTAGATCAATTACCTTTCATCAGAAACAAAAGATTGTCACTTAAATTTAAAAATCAAAATAAATGGATTTAATCCGCTTGAGAAGCATCGTTCTGATTTTGTTTTGCAGAATGAACAATGAATGTCATTAACTAAAGGAGTTAGCAGGCCTCCCGAAATAGTGAAAAATTACAAGCCTCTCGGGTCTGTAACAGTCACAAAAAACTGAAACTGATTCATGCACAAAAGAGGAAACAGAAAGTGGCTGTTACCTCAAAAGTCAAGTCAACAAGTTACCCTGAAGAATGTTAAATGCATTATGCTACAATGAAAATCAGGCCTACCAACAAAAATACAGAAGAGAGCTTATTGCCCTTTCATAGCTTTGAACCTAGAAAATTTCCTTAGCAAAAATATATTTTTAAAATTTCCTATCAAAAGAAAAAAGTGAACTCAGTAACTTCAAGCTGCATAGGTACATTTCACACAAGGTAAAAAAAAATAGTAACCCAGAAAGCTTCTATCTTTAGTACCAACATGAAATGAAATTCACAGGATTTGGCAGTGTTCATAATATATAATGCAGGCATACAGTTTCCAATGTTATCAGCTGGTATCTTTTTCTCAAACACAGACAGGTCAAGAAAAGAAACTTTGCATACCTTTTTCATTAATATACAACAAGTGAGATCATGGTACACAATGGGAACATGGTCTTTTGAAAGATGGACATCAAACTCTACAAAGGCAGCACCCTGAAAGAAATCAAATACATAACTTATATTCTAGAAAGTGTAGTGATGGTATTCAAGTCCTGCAATCAATTTATCAGTTTCATGATTGTTTGCAAAAGCTTTCAATAAATTTTGATTTCTACTTAATCGGTTAAAGTTTAGCGATTGAAACATCTGGTCAATCTATATCCTACACGGTTCCTATGGTGACAAATAGCATGCATCGTCACAACTTCAGATACTCAGCAAGATATATATCCAAATTTAAGCCCTTCAAATGTAGAAGCTGCCTTAATTTCCTCATTTTCAAATATATTTTTCTCCCTTCCTTCTCTTATAACTTTTTGATGCCTGACTTCTCCTCCCATCAGTGAAATATCTAGCTTCAATTCAGCACCTCACCAATGGCTCAACCAAAAAATTACAGGGAGAAAGTACTATTTAAACAAGTCTTATCTTGTCTCATAAATGCTTCAATGTTTCCCCAATCAGTTACTTAAATAAACATGGTAGCATTTTGCACAAAACAATGGATCAGTGCAACTGAACTGCTGATAATTAACAGAAGAATGACAGGCACGTCAATGTACATCTGAATGAGTTAGGTGCAGGACTAGATTATTTGGCTCATCATGCCCTCGCTGCCATTTAATAAGATCATGGCTGATTTGATTGTAGTCTCAGATCCACTTCCTGCCTACCCATGAAACGTTTTCACCCTCTTGCTGACCAAGAATCCACTCTGCCAAAAAAACAGACAGAGTCTTTAGACTTGCACCTGCTTTTGAGAAAGAAATAGGCATTCCCTATTTTTAAAAGGTGACTACTCGTTCTAGATTCTCCCACACAAAAAGAAATCCTCTCATACCTAGAGTGTAAGACCCTCAATTTTGTAGAGTTTCAATCAAATTGCCATTTAATTTTTCCAAACTCCAGCAGTTACAAGCCTAATCTGTCCAATCTTTCCTCACAAGACAACCCACCATTTCAGATTGTATCTAGTAAACCTTCTCTAAACTGCAAATAAATTCTCTAAAAATTGCAACAAACAGTAATATTCTATTACCTTTTCAACTTACTTGCTGTACCTACATGCTAGCCTTGAGATACATGAATTGGGCATCCAGTCCCCACTGCACATCAGAGCCCTGCCAAAAAGGTTTCTATTAACGTTCTGTTACTGCTTACTTGAGAAACTGGAACAGTTAGATGAAGCTTGTTTTAATGTTTTAGCTGGACAACATTGTCAATTATGTAGCACTTCCTCAGAACTCAACTGCAGTGTTTCCTTAGATAATATGTTCGAATCTCAGAGAAGGAATAAACCTACAACCTAAGTTTCATAAATGAAAGACTCACCTGCTGAGCCAAACTGACACAATCAGGAAACATGCAAAGTCATAACGCATACTGCCTTTCAATACAATGCAATTTAATTTAACCAAAATTAAAATGACAATTTGGAATGTAATTCCTCAAATAAAGCAAAGACACACAGAAACCAATTCATATTTCAAAAGACTCCATCAGGTGATCACTATTGCATAGGAATAGTGCAAAATAGGATATAAAACAGGAGACAAATAGGAATAGGTGCCCCCGACAGTATAATTGGACAAAAATCATTTCCATCCTCAAAATATTGAGGTGAATTAACCAATTCTTGTGTTCATTTCCTTTAACTCATCTAGGTCCTTTTAAATGTGATCACTCTCCATTATAGGTTAGTTAAAAGGAATGCTACATTTATGGTCTAGTGTTTCTGTTTTTCATAAAAAATTGTTGCTACTCCTAGGCTAGTTCCTGGTGAAGAGTTAAGGTTATAACATTAAAATTTTGTAAGCATATGGTCAATGTTGTTAAAGATCATCACTGAAACTCCTGAAAACTAATTTTAGTTCCATGGCTGTTATTTGATATTCCTACAAATTTCTTTCTCCACTATTTAAGAATACTATAGTCAGAGGACCCACTGTAAAAATTATAGCACTGCCAAAAAACTTTTATTAATCTGACGTTTAAACTCATAATTGGCAGTTAACAATTATTGCCTTTAAAACATGATTAGAAGACACCATGCCAATAATGGACACATGGCAACCTAATTATACTTAAATATTTAAGACTTGCGTCCAATTTACAGCCTGAAAAGCATAAATAAAAAAAACTTCATTCTTCGTTTTCTGAAGATTGCTCAACATTCAAATTAAAATACAGTATTGTCCCCAGTATCCAGTATGCACATGGAAAGGCGTTGCCAGTTACATGAGAAATACTAGTGGCAGCTGACAGAACTCAACTCATCACTCCCACAAGATGAAATATATTTTAAAAACGAGCTGTCAGGGCTGCTCAAATACCAGTATATCTAGCCACAATAGGTCACTCTGTCATTATCAATAAGGCAAGTCCTGAAATAGCTTTAATAATAATAAAGCATCTGATCCATTACTCGCTTCTAATGGTAATACCAGTAAAGTCTATGTTATCGAGATCCCAAACATCCAGAATTCCCCTTAATTTCAGATACCACAAGAAATAGGAATAGGAACAGGAACAGGCCATTTGGCCCCCTCGAGCTTCTGCCATTCAAAAGAATCACGACTGATCAGACACTCATGACGTCCACTTTCCTGCCCTTTTCCCATAACCCTCGATTCCCCTACTGATCAAGAATCTATCTCAGCCTCAACTATACATAAAGACTCTGCCCCCACAAGTCTCAGCGTCAAGGACTTTCAAAGGCTGTCAACTCTCAAAAAAATTCATCTCCATCTCGAATTGGCACCACTTATTCTAAGGCTAGGCACTCTGGTCCAAACTCTCCTATGAAAAGAAACATCCTCTCAGTACGTACCCTGACAAGTCCCTTAAGAATCCTGTGCCCCTCCCCACATGGAGACGATCACATGACAATTCCAGATGCTTGGGATATGGATAATGGGGTTTGTGCTGTATACTTTAACAGAAGAGCCGCTTGGGCACTACTATTTTTAACATTGCATGCCACTAATGAAGCGTGGTACTTAAAATCTTCTCCGAAGAGTAGAAGAATCAAACAGGAGGCACACACCAAGAAAGGAAATTCCAACTACTTCAGTTCAGAGCAGAACAACCGGAAAGCATCAACATAGGTTAAACAATCAAAAAGATTGGCAAGTGCAACAATCTTTAACTTGCAGGTAGATGTTGAGTGAGAATCGATCATACGAAAGCAGTCCACAGCACACTAATAGCAAATACCATGAATAATCTTGGAAATCAATCGTCAGTTCTGATAACTTCAGTGATACAAGATATTAATGAGATGTCTCTAAGGTAAAAAGAATGCTCCAAAGTATTCGTCAGAGGAAGAATGTTAAATGAGAAAGGGTAGATTAGGAAGTGATAACCAAAAGCTTAGTGTAAGTGATGGAAGATGTACAAGGATAAATCTCGATGACTAAAAACATTAAGCTAACGATTTTGTGCACAGAATCTGGAGTCATGAAGATAGACAAAGGAAAGAATACATGCATGAAGAGCTTGCTGAAATTTTGTGGAAGTAAAGAATGGAGGTGGGTTAGGATAGCATTAAAGTTAGAATTGCTCAAGATATAATCAAGGTTTTCAGCAATAAATCAGCCAATAAAATGTCAAATTTAGCACAGTGGCAGCTCACTCACATTTTCAATTAGGCAGTCACGTATTCAAATCCCACTCCTAAGTTTTGAGCACATAATACAACTCGGCATTTTAGTGCTACAATGTTACAGGCACTGCTTTCAGATGTGATATCAAATCAAGAACTGCCTGTTTGCTGGGTGGATGTAAAAGATCCTCTGGCATTATTTGAAAATGAATAGGAAGTGTTCCAGTGTTCCTGGCCAATATTTATCCCTGAACCATCATCTCAAAAAATCTGTGTTAATTTATCTCACTCGTGTGACCTCGCTCTGTTCAAACTGCTGCTGATAACAAGGAAATAAGAACTTGGAACATTATAAAACAAGGTATTAAAATACAAGAACACAAGAAAAAGGAAACATAGACCATTCCATTCATCATATCTAATAGTGGTAACTCATTTTCCACTCATTTAGGTGGCAAGTTATTCATTTGCTCAATTTCATTCATCCTTTCAGGATCTAAAATATGCTTTTCATGTCAACCATTTGTTTGAAAAAAAACATTAATACCTATATTGAAACCTATAAATTTGAAATTACGCCATAAATTTAACTCCATAAATTACAGTCTAACAAGTCATCAACATCACAGGGGCCATTTGTTCCAATAAATTACTTCTAATAATTTAAGGAAACTATTCATCATGACCTTGAGAGTCACATATCTGAACAGCAGAGTTTTCGTATTACATACGTGACTGGCGGCATTTTTGAAGGAGGCTATTGTGTTTTCTCGAACTTTTGCGAGGCTAAAACAGAATGAGGAAAATCAGCACAGTGAAACCACAATGATGTCTACATACAGTTAATAATTTCAGGAATCAAAAGGCGAAATAACCTAGTATCTAGTTCCCCAATATTAACAGGCAATACATGTGCACTTAAAATAGAAACCGATAAATATTCAGGAAAAAATAAATTATATTGTTGCACCACCAAAAATATAAAACAAAGAATTTATTATTTAGGGAAAGTAACAGGTTTTTAAAAAAATTTTGCATGATTGTTTCAATAAAGATGTAGGGTGGGGGAAGTGTGGCAGTAAAGGGAAAATCCACAAAGACATGGTGGCCATTTTGAATTTAACTGACAGAAATTAATTTCTTCCTTCCATTTTCCATCCAGCAGCTGACCAAATTGAAAGTCAGCCCAGCTATGGCAGGTGGAAAAATAATGGCATAAGGCTGCAACCAAGAATGAATCCTCTTGTACTGACTGAGGTAATTAGGAGGAAGGAGGAAGCAAGGGATTAGACTTGAGGGATTGGGTAGAGAGTTGTCTTGCAAGGAATTAGATCAGATAGTCGGAGGAAGGGATAAGGGGGGCAAATAATAATTTGAACAATGGATTGAGGATGGGGTAGTTGGACCCAAAACATCACCGGAGGTCAAAAGTGAGAGCGCGTGCGAATGTGAGGAAAGGGACCCTAATGGAGGGAAAAGGGACAACGAAAGGTGAGAGACTGTAGGGGAGGAGACAGGGCACAATTTGAGTGAAGAATTTAGAGACTGCATGGAGACAGGGCACTGCAGGAGGGAACAAAGAATAATGGGGGCAGGCAGATAGACAAACAAAACACCTCCCCAGACGAGAGGTGGTGGTAGGGGATCGGGCTGGGGAGATGAAAGGTCTGATTGTAGCAGATGGGAGAGACAGGCCATGGTTGGGTAGAGTGGAAACCAAAAGGTTTCCTTCAGGTACTTCAGCTCCTTACAGAAATTTATAAAATCATAGAGGAATACACACAGGGTGAACAGCCAACGTCTCTTCCCCAAGGGAGGGGAGTCTAAAGCTAGAGGACGTAGGTTTAAGTGGGAAGTTTAAGATTTAAAAAAGGGATCTAAGGTTCTTCTACATAGAGGGTGGTGTGTGCATGGAATGAGCTGCCAGAGGTGGTGGAGGAGGTGGGTACAATTACAAAAGGTATCTGGATAGGGTACATGAATAGGAAGGGTTTACAGGGTTATGGGCCAAATTGTGGCAAATGGGACTAGATCAGTTTAGAATATCTGCTCGGCGCTGGCAAGTTGGACTGAAAGGTCTGTTTCCGTGTTGTATGACTCTATAATAAGTGCTACAGTAAAACTTGACCATGCATTTTACTTGTAATGCCAGAGCTCTCAACTAAGGCACTATACAAACAAATATGTAGGACTCCTGCCCAAGTTCTCAGCATTGCCTTTATATAAAGTGAGGTTACAAGACAGGAATCATACACGCAAGTCTAAACAACTCAATCCCCATTCTGGAGTTAAGCTTTCCATATTTTCTTTCTAAATCTACATTAACAATAAAAATATCTCAGCAAATATATTGCAATGTAATTGCACACCCACACCAATGGTGATGGGAAAGCAGAAGAGACGAAGGAATGAAGACAGAGGTGAACAACCCAGATAATGGGAGGAATAGAGAAGGGACACCTAATCACTATTAATTTTTAAAAAAAACTTTAAGAAAAAACCCTGTCCAGATTCTCTCTCCCAGCAACAGTACGAACAAATTGCTGCTCCCATAGCTCCACATCCACAGGTAGAAATGCCTTTCATGCTGTCCTTGGCCAGTCAGCTCAGTTGGCTGGATGACTCTTTTGCGATACAGAGTGATACCAATAGCGTGGGTTCAATTCCCACACCATGAGGACTCTCATTCTCAACCTCTCCTCTCGTCTGAGGCGTGGTGACCCTCAGGTTAAACCACCAGTCATTAGTCTCGCTCTCCTTCTAATGAGAAAACAGTCTTACGGCCTGGTATGACTATGGCAACTTTATTGTTATTTGCATTAAGAGGCAATGTGGCAGTCAAGAGGAATGAAGTATAGAAGCAGCCTCATGTTTGCTAAACACACATTTAAAGGGGCTGAAGATGTCAATATGCCAGAGCCGTCGTAGCTGTGTCATATGATGCCATGTGTTTTGTATCCTTTTCGGATTTTCTTACAGCCAAGATGATCACCATAAATGCTTTTGAAAGGAAAGCTAGGTAAACAAGATGGATGGAATAAAGGAATACGATAACTAACTTAGAAAAAGAACAAGTTGGATAGGCTTGTGTAGATTATAAAAATGACGAACTTGTTTGATTGAATGACATATTTAATAATTTTAATTAATATTTGAGCACTAGCAGGCAATGAATATGTTTATACTGAGATTTAAAACAAACAGGTTTAGAGAAAGCCACAATAAATATTACAGTTACATCATAATGTAAGGAAAAAATTAGTTTGAAATTTACTCAAATTAAAAGAAGACAATGTTGTACAGATTGGACATTTTCAGAAAGAAGCTTTGGAAATGCTTAAAGACTGCACAAGGTCAAATAACTAACCCAGTTTCCAAAGAACAATATCACAAATGTAGTATCAAAATTTATACAACACCTTTAAAACAGTAAAGGTCTAAGGCATTTCACAGGAGCATTATAAAGCCGAGTATGACATTGTGCCAGATAAGATCAGTTGACTGAAAGCTCGGTCAAGATGATTCTTTTTTAAGTAGTATCTTACAGGAAACCAACGAGGTAAAGAGACAGAGAAGTGTAGGGAGGATATTTCAGACCTTTACACTAAGGCAAGCAAAGGTGCAGCCACCAATGGTGAAGTGATTAAACCTGCGGTGCACATGGGGTCAGAATGAAAGGAGTGCGGGCATCTGAAGAGATTGAGAGGGTGGAGATTAGACAGATAAGAAAGGGATGCTGCCATGGATTGTAAACAAGTTATTTTTAAAAAAAAAAATCAACATTGGAAAAAAAGACTGACAAAACAAGTTGGAAATCACATTGTGCCAGCAAAGTACATCTAGATGCAATATTTTATTCAGAGTTCAGAGCAACTTAGGCCTACTAATAGCAATCATGATTACTTTAAACAAAATAAAATTTTTGGTTTCAATATGGACCCATTCTGACAGAGATCAAAAATAATTTATATGCTTAGCTTTAACATTTAAATTTGCACCACCTACATTAATAAAAGTAGTGGATTAACGTCAGTTTTTAATCATTAATTCAGCTGAGCAATAAAGTTAGCTGAACACTGGTTTCAGAATACAAATAGAGTGGAGTCATACAGCTCAGAAATGACCTTTTGTCCAACTTGTCCATGCAGACCAGATATCCACATCTACTCTATCCAGGCCTTGCAGTATTCTATAAATTTCAATGAGCCCTCTCCCCATCCTTCTAAACTCCATTGGGTACTGACCCAGATTCCTCAAACGCACCTCTTATGACAAGCCTTCATTCCTGGTATCATTCTTGTGAACTTCCTCTGGATCCTCTCCAAGGCCAGCACATCCTTGCTTAAATATGGGACCCAAAACTGCTCTCAAATATTCCAAATGTTAACCTTAAGAGAATCCTGAACTAGGACCAAGTCCCACTGTGCTTCAGATTGTCGAAGCTTTTCTCGTTTAGCATATTCCATACCTCACCTTATTTACAGTGTAAAAGCCTTTTTTTAACCTCCTCACCTCACATTTCCCTCTTTAAACAGCTCCCTCTGCTCCTAGATCTGTTTGAGTGGGAACAATTTCTCACTATCCACTCTGTTCAGAACACTCATGATTTTTAAAACTTCTTTCAAATTTCCTTGAAGTCTTCTCTCCAAGGGAAACAGCCCCAAATTCTGCTGCTTAATTAAATAAGAGCCCTTAATGTGAGGGGCAAGGTACTGGCATGGATAGGAAATTGACTAGTTGACAGAAGACCAAGTAGGGATAAAGGGATCTTTTTCAGAATGGCAGTCAATAGCTAGTGTAGTTCCACAGGGGTCAGTGCTGGGACACAACTATTGATGTTATACATTAATGATCTGGATTGAAGGACTGGAGGGCATTGTTGGCAATTTTGCAGATGACACAAAGATAATTAACGCTGAGGAAGCGGGGAAGCTGCAGAAGGACTTGGACAGACTAGGAGAGTGGACAATTAAGTAGCAGATGGAATACAATGTGGGAAAGTGAGAGTTTATGCACGTTGGTAGGAAGAAGAGACACAGACTAAAATGAAGATGAGAAATAGAAAACAGCACAATGTGCTCTTCTGCAGTTTGGTATTTTGATGCATTTTGGATACATTTGAGGAATTGTAAGCTACACATCCAACCAGAATATAAACTACTTTAACACTTACTTTGCAGATGATGTATTTCCAGCACCTCTGTGCCCAACGTCTAAAGCCATTCTGGGTTTCCAATACTTGGACAATGAAGGAGACATGTCACAAATATAGCCTTCCAAGGGTTTAATAACAAGGTAGTCAACTATATGTGTGGATAAAGATATACAGAAGTGGTTAGTAGCTTATATTCCAATTCATGTCATTGAAGAAGCTATATTTAGTTACGATCCAATTAAACTATAACTAAGACTCCATTTTCTGAGTGAAAGACAATGCCTTCAGAAAGTTGATGACACTGCATGTATCTGCAGTGAAAATACTATACAAAATAACCTTGGAAAGTTCCAGCCTTCTCTCAAACACATTCAGGGTTTTATCTTTTTCTGCAAACGTCAACTGATAAGGAATTATGTTATGTCCTTAAACTGTGCTACGGAGCCTTTCACCTCCCGATGTCCTAAGAAACTAAATCTTTAGTATATTGAACAAATGATAGCCACTGTAAAAACAGGAATGAAGGGCCTGCAAGAGAATGTAATGGGCTTGTAGATGAACTTAAAGGACAAAACGATTTAAAGAAAATTAAAAGATAAACGGAAGAGATCAAGAATGTTCGGTATAATGACTGTAATTTACGATCATCCGAAGTAAACCGAGTTCTGGGGTGCTGTCAGAAGTTATGCTCTCCTAAACCTTAAATGTTGGACTTCTGGATCTTGAATCCTCATTTCTGAGAAGTGTAGCCTCAGTCTATCAGCACACCACAAAAAATTTTAACAGTGATGCAAACAGTATTTGCCAGTATTTTCTTGCCCCATCATTCCCCAAAACAAAAGCTTGACCATTGAAATTTACAATGGCACAAATCAGAACTACAATTTTTAAATTGGACAGCAAAGTATGACAAATTGCAAAAATAATTAACAGATGACACAGGTCACTTATGGCAGCCAATATGGCCAACAGCTTAGGACAAATGTCAGAACTGACACATTGAGAAAAAACACTTGGGGATGTCAACACTACATAGCTTAAGATCTATAAACCATATTTAATGAACTGTCAATATAATTGGAACAGAATAAGAAATAACACTGGCAAGACAAACCTAAAACAAAAAGAGCACCATATCAGCACTGTATTCATATAGCTTTTAACATCCAGGTTATTGAACTGTTAGATAATTTAAATGAGAATGATTTAGAGCAATTTCATTCCTAAAATAATTTCCCTCTTAACAAATTGCTCAGACCGTACCTGGACCAGTATTTAACTTTGCTATCACTTGTCCAAAACATGTGTTTAAAGAATTAACATAAGGTTAAGAAACCTCCAAATTAAATGGGCTCAATCACAAACTATGACAAGCGCATTACAGCAGCGATATATGTCTAACTGTGCATCATTGTAGAACTATCCACCAAATTTTGCAATTTCGAATATTGATACCTTTCACTTTTCCAATAGTTTGTCTAGAATTTCTACTCATGATCGGAAGTGTGATAACTCCACTGGACTTTTCCACAATTGTTGAGGACAGAAGACAGGCTGTTCCAACAAGTCCAGGAAGTGCATCACCTTGTACTACTGCTACACCCAGCTCTTCCTGTAAAATAGAAGTATAAATTTGCACCACATTTAAGATATAAAAGTGATCTAAATCATTCATGCCAGATAAACAGTTAAAAAATGCTTTAAGAGATAAACAAATCCAGGAAGAATTAAGAGTAGCAAAAACACTGTTCTTAACTTGCTGAATACAAGTCAATCAAGCCCCTTCTGCTTGTATCTCCTTCTCCCATAACATTTCGAATCCTTTCAATCCTTTGCACCATAAAGTACCATGTTTGTGTATCTGGTGACACTATTCAAGGATGTCACTTCAAGACCTGATCAACTCTGCATTTTTTTTTGGCTTCCACCCCTACATTATATTTTAAATTCTGCTGGTTTTGTTTTTATGCTGCACTACATTTGTCCTTGCTCATCTGCAGGTATACCATTTTAAAATTCTCATCTTTGCGCTTAAATTACCCCACAAAGAGGGGGCAATCTAGTCCTGATTTAAAATGACAAACTGGAACAGCATTAAAAGGATTTTGTCAGAATGATTTACAATGGAAGCTGCAAATACACAGACTAAATTGGACAAAACCAGTGACTGAAATAGTAAACCTGTAATAAGCAGCAGTACCCAGGAATTGTATTTACTTACACTGTTGGAATGAACCATGGCCAAAGCTTCTAACAGAATAATGTAGGCTTACATCAGTAAAGTTGTATCAGTAGCTAAGCGTTAGCAGAAGTTAGGAGTGGAGGGGAGGTAAGCTTATTATCCACGGTAAAAATCTTGCCAACAAATATAATGCTCTCAAATAATACAGCAGGTAGCTTTCCAATATGAAGGATACATTATGAATTCTTTCCTTCCACCTCTAACTTCAAAATATACAAGCTGATCATCAGCAGTTATTGCTGCATGATGACGTTATTGACCATTATTCTGATGCTATTGGCGCAACACCTTAAGTAAAGTTATTTTATATTAGAAAAAAAAAAGTAAGAACAAAGTCATACCTCAAAGAAGTCAAAAATTAGTTCCAGGTTATCTGGCTCCAGGGTCTGAATGCTATACTCCATCCACTGACCAAGTTCTAAGGCATATCCACACTCTGGCTGTGAGTGACGGGATTTGTATCCACTGTCACTGATTAAGGAGATTTCTAAAGTATTGGGCATTTTCTGCACAGAGGTCGTTACCAGTTTGTCATCTTCCTCCTCCTCCTCCTCCTCTTCAAAACCCTCCAATGTCAGCTTTACCCTTTAAACAGCACAGGCATTAAAGTATTCAGATTTTAAAACTGCAGGACATTCATCCAACATTCACTTTGCATCAAACGATCTATAATTTTGGTCTTAATAGTTGAAATAAAATGTTTTCTTTTTTTAAAAGACAAGTAAGCGTCCACATATTGGTTTGCAAGGCCAGTCTATCAACTGGGTAATCCAACAACAAAAACAGAAGTTGCTGGAAAAGCTTAGCAGGTCTGGCAGCATCGGGAAGAAATATCAGAGTTAACAGAGTTAAGCCATTGCTACAGAAATACTACTTAACCATTAAACTCACTCAGACACAGACCAAACCCACATGTCGCTAACTCAAATCCTGTCTAAATTAAATTATATAGCTGAATGTCATCAAACCTACAATAATCTTAAACTACATGGATTACCCAGTTAAAAACTGAAAGAACAGTGGTTGCTGTAAGTCAGGAACAAAAATAGAAGTTGCTGGAAAAGCTCAGCAGATTTGGCAGCATCTGCGAAGGAAAAAGCAGAGTTAACGTTTCGGGTCCGGTGACGCTTCCTTAGAACCCAGTTCACAGGACCCGAAACGTTAACTCTGCTTTTCGCTTCGCAGATGCTGCCAGATCTGCTGAGCTTTTCCAGCAACTTCTGTTTTTGTTCCTGACTTACAGCATCCACAGTTCTTTCAGTTTTTAACTGGGTAATCCATGTAGTTTAAGATTATTGTAGGCTTGATGACATTCAGCTATATAATTTAGTTTAGACAGGATTGGAGTTAGCGACATGTGGGTTTGGTCTGTGTCTGAGCGAGTTTAATGATTAAGTAGTATTTCTGTAGCAATGGCAATTGTTTTTTTATAAAATATTATGATAATATGCTCCCAGTGTGCAGTAGACTTTCAGTTTAGACAATCAGATTTTGTTTTTCTTTTGATTAGGGGAAACATCCATAGCTTGCAAGAAGCTTCTGGGTTTTGGTTTGGCAGTTTTTGCAGAAGTCTTGGCTGAAGCCACATACGTTGCTTAATCAATTGCCCCTCATGAAAGAAGTTGGCTTAGATTGTTTTAAAAAAAAAAGTTACCTGTGTGAGCAATGTAGTTTAATACCAGACGTTTTTGATCACAATCCTGAAACAGTCAGTTGAAGCTGAACAAATTCAGTTGTGGGATTGAATACTCCAAGGAGAGCGAGAGAGAGCGAGAGAGCGAGCGAGAGCGAGCGAGAGAGCGAGCGAGAGAGCGAGCGAGAGCGGTGGTGAAGCCACAGTTCATTTATGCCCTTTAGATATCCAAAAGAAGGGCATTCTCTTCTCAATCTCTCCTCTCACTTCAGAGGTGGTGACTATGCTGGTGGTTTAATTGGAGTCATTTCTAACAACACAGCAGACCACGCTCTGGTAGAACTATGGCGACTTTACCTTTTTATCTGACTATTTCAATTGTCTCTTATGACTGCTTGCTCTGTGCCAGAAATTTGCAGACAACAGCAATCAGTTAGGTGAAATCTGCTTACTTTCTACTCAACTGCAGCTTCCCTACAAAGAAAAAGACCCTTCTTTTTTTGACAATCAGGAATGGATGAACAGACGCTTCCTGTAATTGTGCAGTTGGTAGACAGGAATCACAACTTTTAATCCCCACCAAACTGTTCCCTGGACATGAACTCCAAATAGTCTCCCTAGCAAGTGCCTGAGCATGAATCAGGCCAGTCACAATCCTGACTTTGTATTCAATCCTGTGCCTGCCATAAGATTACTGGCACTTCAGTCCCCTCCTCACTTTTGTTATCCTTAGACCTGACTACTCTAATGCACTCTTGGCCTGCTTCCCACACTATTGTCCATATGCGAAGCAACTGCAACTCAGATGTACACAAATCCCACAAAGTCAGGTTCACACATCACACCTGTACTTGCCGACCAGAATGGATCCTGTTTCTAGGTATGAAATAATTAATTAATTGTATTACTCGACCAGTTGGAAAATCCCAAGATATATGTTCCACTCTAATTTTAATTGTTGCACAAATACTGCTCAAGTCCTCAGTTGCCAGGGCTTAGGTTGTGGAATCGCCTCCCTGAATGTCTCAATCCATTTTCCCTCCTTTAAGACATGCCTTAATACTAAACACCAAAGTATATATTGCTCACATTTCCCCCCCTCTAGTCAGGATTGTTACAAACTTTGAGAAGAAATAGTTTGGATAACAGCCCTATTTTCCTCCATTCCCATTTCTACCTCACAAAGGATAGATTGCTGATAAACTCATGATGCTTGGATATCGAGGTGACAATTTAAATTCCAAGAATCAAAGTAACTTGAAAGAGTTCAGAGAAGATTGACAAGGATGTTGCCAGGGTTGGAGGGTTTGAGCTATAGGGAGAGGCTGAATAGGCTGGGGCTATTTTCCCTGGAGCATCAGAAGCTGCGGGGTGACCTTATAGAAGTTTATAAAATCATGAGGGGCATGGATTGGGTAAATACACAAGTTCTTTTCCCCAGTGTAGGGGAGTCCAAAACTAGAGGGTATAGTTTAAGGAGAAAGGGGAAAGATTTAACAAAGGACCTGCGGGGCAACTTTTTCATGCAGAGGGTGGTGTGTGTATGGAATGAGCTGCCAAAGGAAGTGGTGGAGGATTTACAACAAGTTAAAAGGCTTGTGGATGGGTATATGAATAAAAAAGGTTTGGAGGGATAAGGGCCAAACGCTGGCAATTGGGACTTAGATTTATTTAGGATTTCTGGTCGGCATGGACGAGTTGGACCGAAGTATCTGTTTCCATGCTGTATATCTCTGACTTTAATAATTTTGCAGCAGGTCTGCAAACAGGCAATGGCATTTGATTTTATACCAGTGGCACAAGGAAATATAGTTAAAACTAGCTTTAACGGAAGAAATTGTTTCAGAAAAATAATGGTGTATGGCATCTTAGGATCAAAAGAATATAGAATGCAAAGTGGAGCATCAAGGTAAAGTTTGAAGTCTCTTATACAATAAGAATATCAAACATTCACAGACAGTTAGCAAAGCAATGACATTACTAAATAATAAGGGGGAATGGTGCCCGCAGTTTTACTGCTGTGAAGTAAGCTCTCCTGGGATCAACATAAAGTTAAAACATCTTCGCAATTCAGTTACTTTATATAGCATACATAAAAACTACATTAGTTCCAGTAACGCATTAGAAAACTAAACAACAAGCACGCAAACCCAGAGAGAATACATTGTAGTTTGACAAATTAATAATGTGAATCACATTCAATCTAATCAGCTCAACTTCATAACATACAATAGTTTCAAATTCCATTTCTTAACAAGCTAGTCAAGATTTATGTTCTGAACTGTCTTAAAGCAGCAGTGTTACATGTTAAGAAATTGATTTACCTAAATCTGGACTTCTTGAACTTCTTCTTAGATATGGAAACCGGAGGTTTCTCAGAATAATGCAACCTCAACCGAATTTCACTTTGGCAAGTTAACCACCCAGACTCCAACTTCTCAACTCCATCTATAACAACAGATTAAATTGCTTAGTTTATACGCATCAAGAGATATCTTATAAAATGCTTCACATCAGTGTATATTTTTCAAACTCTGCAGAGCTATCACATTTCACAGACTATATACACACCACTTTGCAAACAGTATTACATTGCAGTTATGTCAGATTATTACTTGGCAGTATACATCAGTGATATCACAGTAAATGATTTATAACTAAATGACTGAAATTCGGTTTGCGTGTTGGTATATCTACTATTAGTTACATTCTAAAATGTAGAAGTGTTCTAGTTAGCACCACCTTCACCAAAAATTATAAAATGCTTAATGTAAATGACAAATGTACAATGTTCAAAAATATTTAAGAAAGCACTTGAAAGTAATAACAACAGACTCTAAGTCAATATCCAAATTACAAGTCTTCACACGAAACATCCCATTGGTCTGTTTCACCATGTACCCCCTGTAGAGTTGTTCACCTGATCATCTGCACCACTAATCAAAAGAAATAGTGATTTGGGTCACTGGTTAAAAACTCTAGCAGGCCACTATTATAGAAGTAACAAGAGAAAAAGCTAGTGAATCAATGACATAGAAGGGACCGAACATCTTAATTCTGTCCACTTTAGTTCAGCAGTAATCTCTCAATTATAACACCATAAGGCACAGGAGTGGAAGTAGGCCATTCAGGCCATTGAGTCTGCTCTGCCATTCAATGAGATCTTGGCTGATCTGATAATCTTCAACTTTCACACCTTTTCCCCCCATGACCCTTGGTTGCCTTACAGATTTTTTTTCTCAGCTTAAATATAATCAATGGTTCAGCCTCACCAACCCTTTGCAGTAAAGAATTCCAAGGTTCACCATGAGAGAAGAAATCCCTCCTCATCTGTTTTAAACGTGTGACCACTTATTCTGAGATTGTGTCTTTCGGTTCTAGAATCCCTCACAAGGGGGAACAACATTCCTGTACCTAATCTGTCAGGTCCTCCAAGAATCTTGCATGTTTAAATATAGTTGCCTCTCCTTCAATACTTCAACAAGCAGTCTCTCCAAACCTCGTAACAGCATAACTAACTTTCTCTGGACTGCCTTCAATACCAATGTATCTTTCCATAGATAAGGGGCCCAAAGTATTTCAGCTATTGTTTGACTAGTGCCTTGGGTAGTGACAGCAAAATCTCCCTACTTTCATACTCCATTCCTTTTGACTTAAAAGCTAACATTCTATTTGCCTTCCCTTTAACTGGTGAACTTGGATGCTAGCCTTTTGTGATTCAAAGGCGAGGATTTGCAAATCCGTGTTCGATAGCTTTCTGTAGTCTACTTAATTAATATTCAGCTCCTTTATTCCTTCTGCCAAAGTGCATAACCTCACATTTCCCCACATCATATTCCACCTGCCAAGTTTTGCCCACTCACAATCTACATACCTCTGCAGACTCTTCAAGTCATCCACAACACACCACTTACCTTCCCAGCTATTTTTGTATCATCCACAAACCTGGTTATTGCACTTTTATCTCATCCCAGTCATAAATATATATTCTAAATAATCGCGGCCCCAGCACCGGTCCCTACGGCACACTTCTGGTTACAGGGTGGCATCTTGAAAATGCCCCATTACCTAACTCTGCCTTCTATTATTTAGACAATCCTTGATCCACTCTCATTTACCACCAGCAACACCATGGGCTCTTACCAAATTAAGTAGATAATGTGTGGTACCTTATCAAACACTGAAAATCCAAATACATCACAGTCACTGTTTCCTTTTCATCTATCCTGCTTACTATTTCCAACAATTTTAACAAATTTGTCAGGTATGATTTCCCCTTCATGCTGACTGCTTGATCACATTATGCATTTTGAAACGCTCTGCTAATACATCCTTTATAATAGGCTCTAACATTTTCCCAATAATTAAGCCAACAGACCTGTAGTTGTGTTTTATTTTGTCTCCTTTTCTAAAAAAAAAAAGCTGTTATACTCTAACATATACTTAAGCAACATATGTGGCTCTAATCCTCCGCAGATTGGAATCTAGGGATTCCTGGAAGCTTACTATAATGGCATCCATGATCTCTGCAGCTATGCCCTGTAATATCCTAGGATATTGGTGGGATGCCCTTTGGATGGTCGGTGAGGACTCAAAGGGCCGAATGGCCCGTTTCCACACTGTAGGGATTTTATGATACCCCAAATACATATCATGATTTCTTCCTAATGATTTCCAGTGTCTTTCAGATAGAAGATGAGATCACATCTGATGGACATAAAAGATTCTGAAGCACTAGAATAAATGTGTTTCCTAATGTCTTAGCTAACATTACTATTTGTTGGACCCTGTACATATATTTACTACATTTCCTTACTTCACCACAGTCACTACACTTCAAAACTAGCTATAAGGCACTTTTGTACATCTACATTATAAAGATACTTCATAAATGCATTATTTCTTATCTTCAACATTTGGACTGGAAAAAGCCTGATGAAAAATCTTAGAAATTATCTCCACAGAACATTTTTCTAGATAGTGATTCACTCTGATATTTCCTTCTTCACATCATACACCAGAGCCAGACAGAATGTGGAGACGCAGTGCCAATGAGGTGGCTAAAGGAACTAATGCTATCGTTCACATGGGTACAAATAACGTAAGAGTTAGCCAGAGATTACGAACAACAAAATTATTTGGAAAAAAAAACACTGAACAATGTGCTACAAGTTGTTTCGCTGAAAGATGAGAATTTGTTGCAATCAATTATAAGTCCATGAACAGAAGTTAACAAACAAAAGATTTTGATTACCCAGTGACAATTATTGATTAAGCATTTAAAAAAGACAAATACTTACAATAAACAATTACTTAATTAAACATGCACATAATGATACCAGAGACAGCAAAGTATTGGATTTCATTATCAGCAATAGATGATTGAGAAGGATATGCAGACGCAGATTGCTTGTGCTAAACTTTTACAAAACCCCACTCACAGATATACAAATACAATTATATGACAAAGGGAACCAAATACAGAATACCCTAAGGGACAATTTTTTTTTTTAAAAAGAGAAGTGCCTTAGCGACATTCAGCAACTGACACATAAGGAGATGCTGATACATATGTGAGCAATAAACACTGATCATTTAGATAAGGACATGTATAAAAAGTTATTAATATTCACAATTAAGAATGACAAGACTAAAATTAATCAAAGGATAGAGAAAGGAGTCACAACAATTGAAAAGCAATCTTTACTTATTTCAAGGCTGCCAATTCAGTTGGGACAAATAAACAACTCAAGCATGTTTGAGAGATCACGGGCCTGATTTTGTGCTAATGATAAGTGAACTGTCAGTGTTTGCAATCATTCCTCCTCTGCAACTAACAGCAATTCCAGAGAACGTACAAGTGCAGTTAAATGTAGAAATCCTGATGGTTTTTTAATGAGCTTGTGCATTTATATGCATGTAGAGAAGATACAGAAAGTTTCCCATGGACTGAAATCAGAGAACAGCACTCTTACGCTCGTAGTTTTTAAAATACAAAAATCCTTGAAAAATTTTACCTTGCTGAAATAGATGCAAAGGAATCTAGCGTTCATGGTTACGCTAATGGCCTGATAAGTGATTTTGTGTTTGTTGGGAGTCAAATTTCTCATTATAAAGGAATTCTACATTTTTCAATATTATTGTAATGACTACTTTAATTCCACAAATAAGCCCAAATCACTTATTTTACAACCTGTAAAATTTAATAAATAAAATTGAAAAGATTCAGCTGAAGGCATACCAAGTTGAGTTTAAGGCTTAAATAATGGTAAAAACTATGCCAACTAATAAATTCAAAAGATGTGTTAACTATCTTAATAGGGGAGGCGCATTATGGCAATTTTACCAGACTTCCAAAGGTGCGGGGCATTGAATACTTCTATGGTGGAGGTAGATTGATTACCTTGCCCAACAGGATCAAAGTTTGTCAGGGATAGAAGGGAAAGTGGAATGTAGAAAACAAACAAAACAGCCATAAACCTAGCTGAATGATAGAGCAGGCTTGAAGGGCTAAATAGCCTACTCCTGCTCCTGCTCTTATTTCTCATATTTGACTGTTTGGACCTCCTGGCTTGCTATCTAGCCTTTGATGAACTTCATGACTTCATGACATGCTTGCAAAGCCTTACAGGACTTCGCTGAAACCTGGCCAAGGGTTGACAACACCTATGCCCTTAACAAAGTCTTTCCACTGGCAATACCTTCCTCGCCTTGCCATGCCACGACTACTGTAATGACGATGTGGCGTCTGTCACCAGATCACACTTCAACTTAACATCCTTGCTCCTCCTTTTATGAAACTGTTTGTCGCTGAGTTTATTACTCTCCTCCCACCTGGAGTCATCACATCATAAACATAATGTTACCATGAACCCACATCTAAAGTTAAACAGCAACAGTTGACAGCCAATAAAGATGAGAAGACTCTTCCGTGAGACACAGTCTCTTTGCGCTGTAGTTGTAATACTTAAAAAAAAATTAAAGCAATACCTTTTATTGTTGTTTTCAGACTTTTCTATGATGGTGGTGCGGTCAATGAGATAATTTGTAACTAATATTTTGTACATTCACTTAGTGATGATAAAATACAACAGCTTTAAAAATTCATAGCTGACTTTGATGCACTAAAGTACTTCAGTCTAACAGGGGCACAAATGCAAAGACCGTGATACTCTGTTCATATAACAAGGGGTGTCATTATATTATTACGGAGTTAGGCTAATCTACATTTTGGACTTGGAACAAACTCCTCAGAGGGACACAAGTCCACTTATTGAAGAACACTGACATCAATGCAATCGAATATCTTAAGCAGACCAGAAATTTACAACACCCATATTCTTTCATAAATATATGAAATTAGCATTAATGCCCTTTCATTTATGTAATGAAATGAATAAATGGATTAAAAGCACACCTGTTTGGTGCATAGTTTAGGTAAGATTGGTCAAATGTACAATAAATGTGCATAGATGTACTAAGCATGTGCAAAGAAGGATAATTTACAACCTCAGTTCAAAATTTCGCTCATCAACCAATACTAAATCAAAATAATGGGACTAGAAAGTGACTTATCCACAGATGGACGATGCATTTATCAGGAACTTCGTGAAATGCAGCATTTGGGATTGTCAGTCACATTAGCATCTCAAAGCATACTCGGTTTCACCAATGGTGTATAGGGTGGATGCTAAATTCAGACATTCATTACAGGAATTTATGAATATATTCATATCATCATGAACCCTTAGGAAATAAAAGTAGCGTATGGAAGTACAAGTACAGGGCAGGTCCGTTCTTCAATACTTCCAAAACGACGACTCAAAAATTGTAGTAACCTATAATCAGAAATCAATCCACCCTATGTTGATGGCACAAGCTTAAAAAAAAAGTTAGCTGGTAATGAATCTAATTATATCTACTGAAGCTAATGTAAGTCCACTGGTCGTGAGATTGCCAATTAAGTTGAGATAAACAGACAAGGAACAGCCAAGTTTCAAATCCACTCTAATGAATTTGCTGATATCAATAAGGGCAGGTCTGTAGCTCAGACTGCTACCTCGTCAAACGTGCACATGCATACATGCTGTGTGCATTTATTTTTGATGAGGATTCGACTGGATTTACTTGTATTACTTTGAGCAACCTGCTTATTCAACCCAAAGGCTCAAACATGGAGGCATTTAATAAGTGTTATGGCACAATGATGAGCTTAACACTTGGAGTCAGAGAAACCTTTACTCTTGTTTAAAAAAATCCTACAAATTAAAGAAAAGTTTTAAAATTCCTCAGCCAAATATCTAGTTAATGTTCAATGCCTCAATTTGTGTACATGTCCTTGTCACTAAACATTTATGTTGAAATTCACACATACAATTGATCAGATGGCATACTTTTTTTCCTTATAGTGATGTTGTACCATGAATAGGAGACTGCCACATCGTAATGATAGATTTTACAGATGCAGATTCCATTATTAATCTAGATTCAAAAGCTTTAATGGAAAAACAAAAAATGACAGTAGACAACATTAAAAAGTGGGAACTGAATACTGTCCCCACATTCTGATCTCCATCTCAACTCTAGTTCAGCTTTATCTGATATCCATACTTTGTTCTGGCTTCCCACATGCTGTACGTCAGGAGACTGACTGGCACAAAAAAGTAAAATCACATCCACTTCATCCACAAATACGTTCTATCTGGAATATTTACCACACTTCATATATCAAGGTTAGATTTAAAAAGGTCATGTAATTTAGGGTCATTGTGAGTTGAAAGCAATTTGCGATTTACACATTTCACATACAGGTAGGCTTACATGAGGCACTGTTTATGATTTAGCCCTATGAAAGATATAGTTTCACATTAGTCAAATACACACTGCAGTACAGGGCATAAAGCTCCTGTTCTTATAATGCTTCATTCAACTTATGAGTAGTGCTGCAAAAGATCCTATATTTTATGATTATACAAAAACAAAACACTGCAGATGCTGGAAATGGGAACAATTGTGCTCTGCAAAAACTCAAAAGCCCAGTAGCATCTGCGCAAAGAAAAAGCTCATTTCTTAAGTCCAATATGATTCCTATTTGGAGCGGCACCTGAATTTGTGATGTTGTTTTATCTCACATTAACATTCCATAATAATAAAACTAATGCAGCACACTTACTGTGGATTCCAAAGTATCCATCATTCAGAATGCACTCTCCTTCTAGAACAGAAAAAATAAAGCATCGGGAGAAGTCAATAATTGTTGCAGTAGAGACATTACCCAGTTTAAAATCAAACAATGCATGCCAGTTTTTAAAGTTGGACAAAATTCATTTAAAAAGAGTAATTTCCCTGTGTAAAGGTATTACTTTTTAATAACAAAATGCACAGGTGCTTTTTAACCACAGACCTATCTTCAAAATAAAAGCTAAAAACTTTACACAACACCCTTTCTGGGCAGCATACTGAGCAGTGAAGGCCATTTCCAGTCCTAAAAGTGTAAACATGATTTGTAAAACTAGGAAAAATAAATTGAGTATTTTCATTTCCCACAGCCAGTGAAAGTCAGGGAGAATGATGGGGCTAATGATAGCTGCACCAATTAGTCATAAGGAAAATAAATATCAGGCAGTAATAAAGCAATCAACATTACAATTACACAAAGGTTTTAACTAAGAACACAAGAAATAGGAGGGCTGGCTCACAGCTTCCAAAGCCTGTATGCTGTTCAATTTTATTTGGTTGATCAAATCCAGTCCAGACTTCTCTCCATATTCTTTAATTCCCCTACAATTTAAAAAGACCTCTCGATCTGAAGCCTAGTTAAGAACTGAGCAGTCTTCTGAATTTGGCACTCCCAAAGGTTCACAGCCCTCTAATGAGGGCCACTTTCTTCATTAATCTTAAATAATTGTAAAATACCTTATTGGGGCACATGTGTACTGACTTTGAAGAGATCATATTATTGCTGTGAAATTAACTCTAATGACAAAAGGGAAAGTTTAATTACACCACCAGGCAGAAACAAGGCAGGTCGCAGTTAAAATATAGTGGATGAACCACTCCACCGTGATGTAAGCCATTTAAAAAACAAACATCAGGCAGAAGGCATGCACACGAATTAGGCAGCATTCTCACATGCAAATCTTAGTTCTGCTACATAATTAGCATCATCATAGTATTGTAAGCAGGAAGTCAACAAGGTGCAACTTCAGCCACCATAACAGCAAAAACATGGAAATTTTAGAAGTTTTTTTGTCAAAAATGGGTTAAGAATTGCTTCACCAACCACTAATGTAATTATAGACTTCTTCCGTGCCCTCCTCCAATGGGGGAACGTATAATGGGGGACAAAGAAATGGCTGAGCAACTATGTCTTCAAAAAGAGGGCACAAATCAGATACCAGAAATACTTGAGAATATCAGATACCAGAGATACTGGAGAATGCAAGACTTAGTGAGAGGGAAGAATTGAGGGAGATCAATATTAGTATAAAAATACTGCTGGGAAAATTTATGGGATTGAAGGCAGATAAAATCCCAGGGCCTGATAATCTATATCTTACAGTACTTAAGGAAGTGGTTCTAGAAATAGTGGATGCCTTGGTGGTCATCTTCTAGGATCCTATAGACTCGAACAGTCTCTGCAGATTGGAAGGTAGCAAATGTCGCTTGAATATTCAAAAAGGGAGGCAGAGAGAAAACAGGGAATTATAGACCAGTAAGCCTAAAAATCGGTAGTAGGGAAAATTCTCGAATCCATTATCAAGGACTTCATAGCGCAGCATTTAGAAATCAGAGTCGGCATGGATTTAAGAAGGGGAAAATCATGCTTGACAAATCTGTTGGAATTCTATGAAGATGTAACTAGTAGAGTTGACCACGGGGAGCGAGTCGATGTGGTATATTTGTACTTTCAAAGTGTTTGACAAAGTCTCACATCAGAGATTATTGTGCAAGATTAAAGCTTATGGGATTGGGCGAAGTGTATTAAGACGGATAGAAAACTGGTTGGCAGAGAGGAAACAGAGTAGGGATTAATGGGATAGCAAGAACTGCAGATGCTGGAGTCAGAGATAATGAAGCGTAGAGCTGGAGGAACAGAAAAGCTGACGTTTCGGGTCAGGACCCTTCTTCAAATTGGCCGGTAGTAACTAGTGGGGTGCCACAGAGAATGGTGCTGGGACCCCAGCTATTCACAATATATATTAATGATTTGTATGAGGGAACAAACTAACATTTCAATTGGCAGATGATACCAAGTTGGGTGGGAGGGTGAATTGTGACAAGGATGCAGAGATCCTTCAGAATGATCTTGACAGATTAGGTGAATGGGCAAATCAACAGCTGATGCAGCATAATTTGGATAAGTGTGAGGTTATTCACTTTGGAAGCAAAAAGGAGGCAAATTACTACCTGAATGGCTGTAAATTGGGAGAGGAAAGTGTGCAATGGGACCTTGGTGTCCTTCTGCACCAGTCACTGAAGGGAAGCATGCAGGGGAAGGCAGTGAAGAGGGCAAATGGTATGTTGGCCTTCAATGCAAGCGGTTTTGAGTACTGGAGCAGGGATGTGTTGTTGCAGTTATACAGGGCCTTGGTGAGGCCACACCTAGAATATTGTGCGTAGTTTTGGTCTCCTTTTCTGACGAAGGATGCTCTTGCTGTCGAGGGAGTGCAGCGAACGTTTACCAGGCTGATTCCGGGGATGGTGGGACTGACGTATGAGGAGAGATTGACTAGATTAAGATTGTTTTCGCTAGAGTTCAGACGAAAGGGGGGAGGGGGGGATCTCATACAGACTTAAAATTCTAACAGGACTGGACAGGGTAGATGTTCCAGATGATGGGTGTGTCCAGAACTAAGGGTCACAGTCTGAAAATTCAGGGTAGACCATTTAGGACGGAGATGAGGAGACAATTCTTTACCCAAAAGAGTGGTGAACCTGTGGAATTCATTTCCACTGGAAGCAGCTGATGCCAAAACATTGAATGTATTCAAGAGGCAGCTATATATAGCACTTGGGGGCAAATGGGATCAAAGGTTACGGGCAGAAAGCAGGATGAGACTATTGAGTTGGATGATCAGCCATGATCATGATGAATGGCCTCCTCCTGCTCCTATCTTCTAAGTTTCCACGTATGTTTCTATTCTGCAACTACCTCAGCAGATCTGTACTTGTACTTATCCTGAACCTGATTTTATTCAAAGAAAACTTCCTTACAACATGACCCTTGACAAAAAAGGTGACCAGCCAAAGAATACTTTAAGTATTTTGTGCCTTCATTAACAGATCTGTCAGCAAAAGATTGTTCAAAATTAATGGAAAGTCCTTGCACTACACTATTTTGCTAGTGTGTTTTTGGATAGGAGCATTAGTTAGATAAAATACTTTTAAACAATGCTCTCATAGTTATTTCCCTTACCTATGCACTTGTTTTAAAACTCATGCAAAGCTACTAAACAGGTGCAAGACTAAAGTTGCTTTAAATTAGATATTCAATAGCACTACCTGGATACTTCTGACCTGACACGAGCTCTAGCATTTTAAATGATCCTCACTGTGAATGTAGAATAGTTAATAAACATGAAAATTAATCTGGCAATTGCTTAGCCAGTAAGAGCTCTAGAATGAGGCCTTCGTTCACTTTATCTCTTTGTGGGGATTACATTTGGCAAATGCAGTATTGATGACAAACTGCAAATAATATCTTCTTAGGTGATATTTTATAACAAATTACTTGAATGCTGACAATTATCCCACTCTACATAGCCTTTACTTTATTGATGCCTTTATGGGGAGACTCAATAAACATGAGGGAAGAATATGTCAATGACATACAGAGGAGAATAACAGGACGTCTGACACACACAAACACCAGTATTGGCCTAATGGGCTGAATAACTTGTCTATGCGCTCCAACTCGACATTCTGGAACTACATGTTGCTAGACAGATAGTAGCAAGACCGCTATATATGACAACGTTTGCTAAACTCCAGCTCCCTATTTCGTGTGCTCTTAGATATCCAGTGTCAGGGTCTGGATAGGAGGCCTTCAGAGCTCATGTGCATGCATGGCAATACCTTTTTCGTTCGAACCTCCTTTATGGCTTACTCCAACATGGCAAAGGCAAGTAGCCCGCACACAAAGGAATAGATAAATAGAAACAAGGGAACCTCTGTATACAATCAGAATTTGGATCATTGAAGAATTTCATCACAAACATTTTCTTTATAAACACAGTCAGCTTTAACAGAAACATTGAGTCTCCAAGACCGAAGTGCCATTCTTCTAGAATTTTTTTTTTTTTAAAATAGATTGTATTGATATGTGACATTCAAGTGCTACAGACATTTGATATCCAAAGCTGTTTACCGCCTTCACAGTAGATGCAAAATGTGGTTTTTACTACATTTTCAGACACTTGGACAGAATGCCAAAGCTATGCTGCATGAGAAATCTGCACTAATGCAATTTTATATTCTCAATTGGATATACTGGTCCTGGGGTTTGCTTTGAGACCAGCTTCAATTGGACAGATGGAGGCAAAACAGAAAATGGAATTCTGAACTATATATTTTCATTAGCACCAGAACCCAGGATGATGCAGCAGGAGTTGCTGACTCAAAAATACAGAGGGTTAGCATCCTAGGATTAGACTCCAGTTTTAACAAAATTGCAACAATGGCAATGGTGTGCTCTGGGAACACTTTTGTCAATTGCGTTGTAAATATCAATAAAATTGATAAAAATGGGTTAATGAGGTACTATGAGGAAGTTGACTTTTCTTTAGTAAAGAAATTGAGTCAGTCACACATTCCAGACGACAACTTGAATGGTCCCTGGTCAGACAGAAGATTTACCTTCTTATAGCAATATCAAGAAATCTAGTGGCAGGCCCAAAAGGTGTCCCATTTTCCTGAAACACCTGAACATGTTACTACCGGAACTGAGCATCTAGTGCTGTATGCATCCTCAAAGACTTTTCTTCAGAATCTGATATTACTTGGTGTTGGTTGTATAGATGGTTACTTTTTAGGGTTTATACACCCTGCTTCTAAATATTGTACTCACCTGCAATTTAATTCAATTCTTCTGGATTTATAGCTCTTAGATGATTTAATTGTGTTCTTCTTCAGTACTTAAAGCAAACCTTAATAAAAAAACTTATTGGCAAATTAAGTGCAAAATAGCACACTCAGTGGCAGCACACAGGGAAACAGCTAATGTGCTTTAGGTTTTGAAGAGGAAAGCACAGCTGCGGTGCTGCACACAAACTGTGGAATGCTAGGCAGGAACAGGTGAAATGCATTCCTTAGCACACCAACATTGCAACTTCTTTCACTCAACATGAGAAGACTGGATGCTTCCCAGTAGCTTATTAAATTGGTTTCAGAGATGCAATAGAGCTAAAGGGTCATCACAAGAAAGGGGACCAAGAAGTGGAAGAATGCTTTAAGAAGTACTTACAAAATAAAACATTGTACTTTGAAGAAATCCAAATCTTTAGTTAGAATTGCGTGTACAGAATACTCGATATAAAGCAAATCTTTACATGATTATTTAAAGTTACTTGGGACTGGGGCAAAATTTAATAGTAAAATAAATTTTAAGTTTTCTATCTTTGTAAACAGACAGACACTCTGGGGCAAAAAGTGACAGTCAATAGAAAATGGTACAAGCTAAAATTTGTGCATGTAAGAAAAACAGCATTGAGACTAAACATTTCCACAAATGCAATAAATATCGGTGCAAGTGCAGCACAGTGAAGTATTTAACCCACCGTAGCCACATACAATAGCACCATTTTAAATATTTGAAAAAAAATTTGTCCAGTCAAAACAATGCAGGAATACATTGTCCATCAATATGAATTGCTACGAATACATAATTAACATTGTAGCAATATAAATGTGAGGTACACTATCATTTTGAAGTTATGATTGCAGCATTCTCTAAGAAAGCTTAATTCAGCCTTGGTAATAAAATAGCACCACTCTAGTATTTAAATTCTACTGGAAATGGTAAAATTGAGTGGTCCAGGGATATAGCTGATTAATGCTTCGACATGAGAGGAAGCAAGGCTGTACCCAAAATCTCTCTCACTCCAAATTATCAATGGGCAAAAAGTACCAGATAAAAATGCAGCAGCTTTTCACCAAAGAGGTGATGATGTGGGTGCTTGTGTAATCAATAAGATTTAAAAGATAACAGATTACACTGCATACAGGTTCACATATCCGTGGTCAATATGACAGCAAAGTGTCGACCATCTGCTTAACCTCATTTATGGGGAATGGTGCCAACAGAGCCAGAAAACAGAAAGGGAAAAATAAATTTTAAAATGGGTTGGTGTAATAGTTTATGCTAAATAATTTTTCAGAACTTGGAAATCTGAGTCAATACAGAGCATTGTGGAGAATCAACAAAATAGACCTTGATGCAAAACAGCTTCTGTGACGTATTTTAAGTTTCATTTGGAGTTATCATTTAAGTTCAGAGCATCCAAAATACAAATGAAGAGAATAACCATAAAGGTACACAAATATGCCAGGGTGTGAGGTAGGGATAAATGACTGTTTAGAAGTGTTACTGATCATATTTCCATCCCAACATGACAGATGGTTGGTTCATAAAAAGTCAGAAATATAATGTGGGGGCAAATACTGGTGTTAAATAATATATTTCAAGTTGAAAATTAAGTGATTATTGTCAGATGCTTAATTTTATCACATGTACCTCTGCTATTGCCAATCTGGCAGATAACAGAAACTCAATACACTGTAGTGACATACCCGACGGATTAAATGATCGTGGATGAGGATGAGTCTCCCACTTGTTGACTAGCACTTGCCGAAGATCAGCAGGGTTCTGAGTCAAGTGATAAAAAGATTAAAGCCCTTTATCATATTACAAAAGGACTAGAAGAAAATTCAAGCTCAGAGGACAAGAGATAAGTTTTTAACCACTTCTGGGAAAGTGTTTACAATTTTTTCATCATGTGCTTTTCATGTAATAACATGACTGACTGAAGTTACAGGTACTGAGGATAATAACCAATATTTAAACTGGATTGACCACAGTACATCTTAATAACAGCATATCAGAGCACCAACAGTTGGCACCAAACAAGAGATGCAGATTTGAACTTCTCACTGAAGAGGTCCAATCTCAACATTTCTGTCACAGGTCCCATCAATTCCCTACAGAGGAGAGAAAAGTTGGTATGATTGCTATTGCCAGGTTATTGTCATGAGCTTCCAACTGGCTGTCTGACAGAACAGCAGTACTGGCAGATGCATAGGAACAGGCTGCCAGGTCTGCAGGAGGTGCATAGCCCAGCAAGACCTGCATAGGAAATAAAGGGATTAGTTATTTATGTAAATCAGCATACATGCACCATACATACAATTACAAATTGCAGCTTAGACTCACTCTTCAACATTACAAGTAATGGAAAAAATAATTACAAACTACAGATAAATTACGATTGCTGAAATAACAATAAACGCAGTACTCTTAAAGTTGAAGGATCAAGGTAGTATATGGATTAGAACATTCACTCCAGAGACCAATGAGACAAGTCTCTGCCCTCTGCTAACTCTTAAGGATCTACATGAAATAGCTGGGCAGACTGTGTGGTATAAATGCATGGGCCCCCGGGAAGAAAAAAAAAACTATTTCTGATTTTGCTTGCAAGGAGGAAAATAACGACAGGTGTAGGAAGTGGGGCAAAAAAAGCAAAATTGGAGAAAGTATGTGATACTATGGCTTGGCACTGAGAAGTGGAAGTGTTCCCTTGTTAGAACCTACAAAACCTAAAGGAGCACAAAAAAAATCCAAGGAAAAATTAACATAAGCAAGCCCTAAATTTCATATGTATTCTTCCCGAAACAATACTCCATCCATTACAAATTTTAAATACAAGTAAATTTGGTAAAAATTATAAAGATCTATTTCATTTGCTTAGTGGTCAGGGCCTATTTGTGCATCCAATAGTTAATATAAACAATACAACATTTTAAAAATAATTGAAATGGCCACACACATACAAATTTCTTTTTGAAAAATGGGATATTTCAGTTTTGTTTGAACAAAATAGGTAAAATTAAAAATCAGCGTTGCCAATAGGTCAAACTGTTATACCAACAGTGCCCGATACAAAAACAAGTTTTCACTCAAGCCAGCACTGATTGATATCTTGCATTCAGCTCAAGTTTTTAAAAAAAAAATGGTAAGAAACCTATCATTGCCAATGCCTTAATGTTATATGGTCAAAATGCTCATTCCAGACACAATCAATCAATCATTCAATCAAAACAAAAAGTCCACACATCCATTAAATGCTTAACAGAAATCCTAGTGGCAACACAATTAGTTTAGATTTCATTTACTGAATTTCAGTTGATTTGTATTAGAGTTAGGTTAGAATAGCAATTGATTTTAATTTTCAGTTTTTAATACACCTAATCTTTAATGAATTTTGAGGAAGTCCAATTAAGTTAAAATTGAAGCAGTTTTACTAACTCCACTAGATGTTGCCACTAAATTTTAAAAATGAAGTTTATTACGACTAAAAAAAATTGTAACAGATTGATCATTAAAAAGAATCTAATGATAATAAAACTCCAACGACACTAATCAATAGCCAATTGAAAGAAAAGAAAGATGCTACAACAGATTATTCACTGCTGCTAAAGTTAGCCAGCATTAAGAAACCCTCATGTAAAAAGATAATGCAAAAGGATAGAAAGGGACATGGGTCAAGTCTACACATTTGCTACAAGAAAATCTTTATTAAACACACACTCAGAGTGAAGGTGCCAATGCAGAAGAAAATGGAACATACAGTAACATGCTACTCTACTTCTACCAGTTAACCCACAATTTATTTTAGCTTTAACCAAAAGAAGCAAGATATCAGTCAACAATACAGATTCATCCATTATATAGCTGAGATTAAGAATTCTTACTAAGAAAAATCTTTAAGTCAAAAAAGTTATATTTTTACTTTGCCATTTTCTCTCCCTTGCCCTGCAGAATTACCATTGGTGGGACAGTCAGCTATCCTTTCTGCAGAAGGGAGAGAGGAAAAAAAGGCCAGACTGCACCCCTCTCCTAGTATGTGCTTACACAATGAGAATCTGAAAGCAAATCATCCACCAGATTCCATAGCAGGATCCTCCAAAAACACAAAAATTACGCAGTCATGTCCAGAAAACGAGTCTTACCTTAGGCTCCATGACATAACATTTGAAGTAGCGATATTGGACAAGGGTGGCTCCAGGAAGAATAACAGTTGCTCTCCATGTTAGGCTACAGGAAAATGGCAAAATTGTAGAAACATTCAAATAAGATGGTCATTTGGAGTTGCATTTTGAGGCTGTTACAAACTAAA